CGCGACTCTCCGACCTCGACGAGCGAAGACGAACCCCAACGACTCTCCTCTCGCTTCCTTCTTCCCGCTCAGCGCCGCAGCGACGTGCGCACGACCAATCCAGTCCGAGTGGACTCGAGCGAACCTCGCACTGACCCGCTTGCCGTTCGCCTCTCCAGCTTTCTCCTCCCGCTCCTCCTCTCCCCACTTCGCTACCACTCTTCAAACGACTCGTCAAACACCGCACAGGATGGTCGCGGCGCAGGACTTGCCGCTCGCGCTGAGCATCAGCTTCGCGCCCGAGTCGTCGACCATCTCGATGACGCTGTTCAACCAGCCCGAGGCGTCGAAACCCGCCCTCCCCCTCGAGCTCAAGTACAAGTACGACCCCTCGACGCCGTACGCCCCGATCCACGAGATCACCGAGGACCGTAATCAGAGGATCAAGCAGGTGCGCGCGCGGCCGTTTGAGCGAGAGACGGGCGAGAAACTGATCAATTTCCGGTTCGACAGCACTACTGGGACCTCTGGGGCCTCGGCAACAAGGCAGACCAGGGCATCTCGCAGCTCAAGATCACCGACGAGTTCCAGGGCGACCTCGTCACCATCTCGGCCGACGAGATCGAGGCGTTCTGCCGTGTTGTCGGCATCGAGGGCGAGGCGTACAAGCGCAACCACAAGGCCGGCATGCAGGTCCCGCTCGACTTCGCCATCAAGCTCGGCTGGAAGGTGCGCACGCTCACACCCTCGAGCTGCAGAAACGCAAATTAACGAGACTCGCGCCCACAGGCCATCATGAAGCCGATCTTCCCCTCGACGATTGACGGCGACCTGCTCAAGCTCGTCCACCTCTCGAACGGCTTCCGCGTCCTCCCCGACACGCCCACACTCCAGGTTGGCGACGTCGTGACGACCACGTCGCGCATCGAATCAATCACGAACTCGGACACGGGCAAAACCGTCTCGGTTCGCGGCGTCATCTCGCTCGTCTCGTCCGCCGACTCGAAGGGCAAGGACGCCTCGACCGAGGACCGCATCCCGCTCATCGAGGTCACCTCGTCCTTCTTCTACCGCGGCAAGTTCAGCGACTACGCCCAGACATTCTCCCGCGTCGCCCACCCGACCTACTCTGTCCCGATCACCACGCCCGAGGCCGTCGCCGTCCTCCAGTCCAAGGAGTGGTTCCAGTGGGACGACGACTCGAAGCCCCTCGAGGTCGGCACCAAGCTCCAGTTCAAGGTCGAGTCGAACTATGTCTACGCCGACAAGTCGTCCTACGCGATGGCTACCGTCACCGGCGGCGCGTACGTCATCACCCCCGAGCTCAAGCTCGCTGTCAAGGTTGCCACGGTCGACTACACGTCCGAGGGCGAGGGCGTCATCCAGGGCGACCCGGTCATCGAGTACCTCAAGCGCCACGGCTCGGCCCTCGACCAGCCCATCATGCTCGAGAACGGCGGCTATTCGCTCACCAAGGCCGGCCAGTGCACCTTCACGACGCCCGCGTCCAACCTCGACTACTCGCTCACCTCGGGCGACACGAACCCGATTCACACGAACCCGTACTTTGCCTCGCTCGCCTACCTCCCCGGCACCATCACGCACGGCATGCACTCGTCGGCCCGCACGCGCAAGTTTGTCGAGCAGGTCGCCGCAGACAACGTCGGCGCGCGCGTCCGCAAGTACGAGGTCGGCTTCACGGCCATGTGCCTCCCCTCGCGCAAGATGGAGGTCCGCCTTAAGCACGTCGGCATGACCGCGGACGGAAACCGCCTCATCAAGGTCGAGACCGTCGACGTCGAGGGCGGCAACGTCGTTCTCAGCGGAACCGCCGAGGTCGCCCAGGCTCCCACCGCGTACGTCTTCACCGGTCAAGGTTCGCAAGAGCCCGGCATGGGCATGGAGCTCTACGCCAACTCGCCCGTCGCCCGCGCCGTCTGGGACGAGGCTGACCGCCACCTCGGCGAGGTCTACGGCTTCTCCATCCTCGAGATTGTCCGTACGAACCCCAAGGAAAAGACTGTGCACTTCGGCGGGTTGAAAGGCCAAGCAACCCGTCAGAAGTACATGGACATGTCGTACACAACGACTGACCATGAGGGCAACGTTAAGACTCTCCCGCTCTTCGGCGACATCGACCTCCGTACCTCACGCTACACGTTCTCGTCGCCGACCGGTCTCCTCTACGCCACCCAGTTCGCCCAGATCGCCCTCGTCGTAACGGAGAAGGCCGCCTTCGAGGACATGCGCGCCAAGGGTCTCGTTCAGAAGGACTGCGTCTTTGCCGGTCACTCGCTCGGAGAGTACTCGGCTCTCGCCTCGATCGCCGACATCCTCCCCATCTCGGCCCTCGTCGACGTCGTCTTCTACCGCGGTATCACCATGCAGCGCGCCGTCGAACGCGACCACCTCAACCGCTCGTCGTACGGAATGGTCGCCGTCAACCCGAGCCGCATCGGCAAGAGCTTTGGCGACGCCGCCCTCCGCGAGGTCGTCGACACCATCGCCCGCCGCGGAAACATCCTCATCGAGGTCGTCAACTACAACGTCGAGGGACAGCAATACGTCGTCGCCGGTCACCTCGTCGCCCTCCAATCCCTCACGTGAGTTGCGCTTCCTCCCACTCCGTCCCGTTCGCCCGCAGCTGACCTCTCACGCGCAACAGAAACGTCCTCAACTTCCTCAAGATCCAGAAGATCGACCTCGCCAAGCTCACCGAGACGATGTCGATCGAGCAGGTCAAGGAGCACCTGTGCGAGATCGTCGACGAGTGCGTCCAGAAGGCGCGCGACCTCCAGGCCAAGACGGGCTTCATCACCCTCGAGCGCGGCTTTGCGACGATCCCGCTCCCCGGTATCGACGTGCCGTTCCACTCGCGCTACCTCTGGGCGGGAGTCATGCCGTTCCGCACTTACCTCTCGAAGAAGGTCAACCCGGCGCACTTCAACGCCGACCTCCTCGTCGGCCGCTACATCCCCAACTTGACCGCCGTCCACTACGAGGTCTCGAAGGAGTACGCCGAACGCATCCACACCCAGACGTCGTCGCCGCGCCTCAACAAGATTCTCAAGGCCTGGGACGAGGAGCGCTGGGGCGCACCCGAGAACCGCAACAAGCTCGGCTACGCCATCCTCATCGAGCTCCTCGCGTACCAGTTCGCCTCGCCCGTCCGCTGGATCGAGACGCAGGACATCCTCTTCCGCGACTTCAAGTTTGAGCGCCTCGTCGAGCTTGGCCCGTCGCCCACTCTCACCGGCATGGCTACGCGCACGCAGAAGTCAGTATCGCCCGCACGCTCTTCTCGCACGCCTAAGCTGACCTTGCCCTTCCCGCTGCAGGCTCAAGTACGACGCGCACGACTCGTCGGTCGGCATCAAGCGCTCGATCTACTGCATCGCCAAGCACCAGAAGGAGATCTACTACCAGTTCGATGACGTTGCCGGCGAAGAGGCGCCCGCTCCTGCCGCAGTTGCGCCTTCCGCTCCCGCTCCCAAGGCCGCCCCAGTCGCCGCCGCCCCTCCCCCTCCCGCTCCTGTCGCTGCCGCGCCTGCCGCCGCCGTCGCCGACGAGCCGCTCAAGGCTGTCGACACGCTCCGCATCATCATCGCGCAGAAGCTCAAGAAGCCCGTTGGCGAAGTCCCCCTCACCAAGTCGATCAAGGAGCTCGTCGGCGGCAAGTCGACCCTCCAGAACGAGATTCTCGGCGACCTTCAAGGCGAGTTCAGCAGCGCGCCTGAAAAGGGCGAGGAGATGCCTCTCCAGGAGCTCGGCGCGGCCCTCCAGCAGGGCTACTCTGGCAAGCTCGGCAAGTACACCACCGGCGTCATCTCGCGCATGATTGGCGCCAAGATGCCCGGCGGTTTTGGTCTCTCCGCCGTCCAGGGTCACCTCGGCAAGACCTACGGCCTCGGCGCCGGTCGCATCGATGGCGTCCTCCTCTTCGCCGTCACGCAGGAGCCGGCTAAGCGTCTCGCCAACGAGGGTGAGGCGAAGGCTTGGGTCGACTCGGTCGCGCAAGGCTACGCCTCGATGGCTGGCATCTCGCTCGCCGCCGGCGGTGGAGCTGCTGCTGCTGCCCCCGCGATGGCGTTCGCCGCTCCGGCCGCAGCTGGCGGTGGAGCGCCCGCTGCCGTCCCCGACGAGCCGCTCAAGGCGACCGACACGCTTCGCGCCATCATCGCTCAGAAGCTCAAGAAGCAGATCCCCGACGTCCCCCTCACCAAGTCCATCAAGGACCTTGTCGGCGGCAAGTCGACCCTGCAGAACGAGATCCTCGGCGACCTCCAGGGCGAGTTCAGCAGTGCGCCCGAGAAGGGCGAGGAGATGCCGCTCCAGGAGCTTGGCGCCGCACTCAACCAAGGCTACTCGGGCACGCTCGGCAAGCACACGAGCGGTCTCGTCGCCCGCATGATGGGCGCCAAGATGCCCGGTGGCTTCGGTCTCTCGGCGGCGAAGGCGCACCTCTCGAAGGCTCACGGTCTCGGGCCCGGCCGCACCGACGGCGCTCTCCTCGTCGCGCTCACCAAGGAGCCCGAGAAACGTCTCGGTAGCGAGGCCGACGCCAAGGCCTGGCTCGACGGCGTCGCTCAGGCGTACGCCTCGCAGGCTGGCATCACCCTCGGCGCTGGTGGAGGCGGAGGCGGCGCGGCTGTCGGCGGCGCCGGCTTTATGATCAACACCGAGCAGCTCGACAAGATGCAGGAGAAGCAGGACAACTTCGTCTCGCAGCAGGTCGAGCTCTTCCTCCGCTACCTCGGCAAGGACTCGCGCGAGGGCCACCGCCTCGCCGACATGCAGAAGGCAGAGGTCGCCAACCTCCAGGAGAAGCTCGACTCGATCGCTCGCGAGCACGGCGACGCCTATGTCCAGGGCATCCAGCCCGTCTTCGACCCGCTCAAGGCCCGCCACTTCAACTCGTCGTGGAACTGGGTCCGTCAGGACGCGCTCATGATGTGGATGGACATCCTCTTCGGCCGCCTCACCACCGTCGACCGCGACATCACCGCTCGCTGCCTTGTCATCATGAACCGCGCCGACCCTTCTCTCATCGACTACATGCAGTACACCATCGACAACACCCCCGTCGAGCGCGGCGAGCATTACGTCCTCGCCAAGCAATTCGGCCAGCAGCTCCTCGACAACTGCCGCGAGATGATCGGCCAGGCTCCGCTCTACAAGGACGGTGCGTTCGCTATCTTCTTCTTGCAAGCTTGTGCTTCCTCTCACCCTTCTCTCTGCATAGTCACCTTCCCGACCGCGCCCAAGACGACCGTCAACGCCAAGGGCGACATCATCACCGAGGAGGTCAACCGCCCCGGCGTCTCTCGCCTCGAGAAGTATGTCGCCGAGATGGCTGCCGGCTCAAAGGTCACCGTCGCCAGCGTCAACGTGCGTACTCTTGTCTTTCCCTCTCCGGCTTGGACGACGTGCTGATCTTCGGACTCGCAGCTCGACAAGGTCCAGGAGCAGGTCGAGAAGCTGTACAAGCTCGTCAAGTCGCAGCCGCAGATTTCGAAGCAGCACATGACGTCGATCAAGTCGCTGTACGCTGAGGTCGTTCGCGGTCTCGGCAAGGACGCCGGCCCTCCTCCGGTCCACAAGGCCGGCACTCGCGCCCGCCGCCCCTCGAGCCAGTTCCTCCGTCCCGCAGCCGTCTCCGAGGCGACTTTCCTCCCCGAGGACAAGGTGCCTCTCCTGCACCTCAAGCGCAAGATCGGCAACGACTGGCAATACTCGAGCAAGCTCACGTCGCTCTACCTCGACATCCTCAAGGAGATTGCCACGTCGGGTGTCACCTTCGAGCACAAGAACGCGCTCATGACCGGTGTCGGCAAGGGCTCCATCGGTATCGAGATCGTCAAGGGTCTCCTCGCTGGTGGCGCTCGCGTCGTCATCACGACCTCGCGCTACTCGCGCTCGACGTACGCCTTCTCTCCCGCCTGCTCCTCCCTTCCGCAGTATGCTGACCTTTTTGCTCGCCCCGCAGTGTCGAGTACTACCAGGCGATCTACCAGGAGGTCGGCTCGAAGGGCTCGTCGCTCACCGTCGTCCCCTTCAACCAGGGCTCGAAGCAGGATGTCGAGGCGCTCGTCGACTTCATTTATTCGAAGGATAAGGGTCTCGGCATGGACCTCGACTACATCCTCCCCTTCGCCGCCCTTCCCGAGAACGGCCGCGAGATCGACGGCATCGACGACCGCTCCGAGCTCGCCCACCGCATCATGCTCACCAACCTCCTCCGCCTCCTCGGTGCCGTCAAGTCGAAGAAGGCCGCCCTCAAGCTCACGACCCGCCCAACCGAGGTCGTCCTCCCGCTTTCGCCGAACCACGGCCTCTTCGGCAACGACGGTCTCTACTCGGAGTCGAAGATCTCGCTCGAGACGCTCTTCAACCGCTGGAGCTCGGAGAGCTGGGGCGAGTACCTCTGCCTCGCTGGCGCTGTCATCGGATGGACGCGCGGTACCGGTCTCATGTCGGCGACGAACTCGGTCGCCGAAGGTATCGAGGCGCAGGGTTGCAGGACGTTCTCCGCCAAGGAGATGGCCTTCAACATTCTCGGCCTCATGCACCCGCTCGTCTTCGACGTCGCGCAGATCGAGCCTGTCTGGGCCGACCTCAACGGTGGCATGGACAAGCTCCCCGACCTTGCCAACCTCACGACCGAGATCCGCAAGAAGCTCAACCTCACCGCGTCGACCCGCCGCGCCATCGCCAAGGACAACTCGTTCGACTACAAGGTCGCGCACGGCCCGGCGATGGAGCAGATACACCAGCGGATCAACGTCGCCCCGCGCGCCAACTTCTCCCTTCCCTTCCCCGAGCTCAAGCCGATCGATGCCAAGTCGGAGCTCGCGAAGCTCCGTGGCCTCATCGACCTCGAGAAGGTCGTAGTCATGACCGGTTACGCCGAGGTCGGACCGTTCGGCTCGTCGCGCACGCGCTGGGAGATGGAGGCGAACGGCACCTTCTCCATCCAGGGCACACTCGAGCTTGCGTACGTCATGGGCCTCATCAAGCACTTTGAGGGTCGCCTCAAGGACGGCACGCTCTACGTCGGATGGGTCGACGCCAAGACGAACGAACCGCTGGACGACAAGGACGTCAAGGCTGCGTACGAGAAGCACATTCTCGCGCACACCGGCATCCGCCTCATCGGTGCGTCGGTCTCGTTCAGACTTCGTGCTAAACTCCCGCTGACGCTCTCGCTTTCGCAGAGCCGGAGATCTTCAACGGCTACGACCCGAAGCGCAAGGGCTTCACGCAGGAGATCGAGATCCAGCACGACCTCGAGCCCATCGAGGCGTCCGAGGAGGACGCGGCTCGCTTCAAGCGCGAGCACGGCGCGCTCGTCGACGTCTACACCGAGGACGGCAGCAAGTTCTTCGTCAAGTTCAAGAAGGGCGCCAAGCTGCACATTCCCAAGGCTGTTGCCTTCGACCGCCTTGTCGCCGGACAGAGTGCGTACCGTTCGTTAGCTTCCGATCCTATCGTATCCGCTGAACGCGCTACGGCTTCGCAGTCCCGACTGGCTGGTCGCACAAGGCCTTCGGTATCCCCGACGACATTGCCTCGCAGGTTGACCGCACCTCGCTGTGGGCGCTCGTCTCGGTCGCCGAGGCGCTCATGATGGCCGGCATCACCGACCCGTATGAGCTCTACAAGTGGATTCACCCGAGCGAGGTCGGTTCGTCGCTCGGATCCGGCATGGGAGGCATCACGAGTATCTCGAAGATGTTCCGCGACCGCCGCGAGGAGAAGGACGTCCAGAAGGACATCCTCCAGGAGACGTGCGTCCAGCTTCCTCTTCCTTGCATGGTCGCCTGTATTGACGCGCTCTTCTCGCAGCTTCATCAATACGGTCGCCGGATGGGTCAACCTCCTCCTTCTCTCGTCATCCGGACCGATCAAGATCCCCGTCGGCGCCTGCGCGACTGCCCTCCAGTCGGTCGAGATCGCCTGCGACACCATCCTCAGCGGCAAGGCCAAGATCATGGTCTCGGGAGGCTACGACGACTTCTCCGAGGAGGGCTCGTACGAGTTCGCAAACATGAAGGCGACCTCGAACAGCGAGACCGAGTTCGCTGCCGGCCGCGAGCCGAACGAGATGTCGCGTCCGACGACCAGCACCCGTGCCGGCTTCATGGAGTCGATGGGTTGCGGTGCTCAGGTCCTGATGTCGGCGAAGACGGCCATCGAGATGGGCGCCACCATCTACGGCATCGTCGCCTACACCGCGACCGCCACCGACAAGGCTGGTCGCTCGATTCCCGCCCCCGGACGCGGTGTCATGGGTACCGCGCGCGAGATCACCTCCAAGTACCCCTCGCCCATCCTCGATGTCACCTACCGCCGCCGCCAGCTCGAGTTCCGTCGCAAGCAGATCTCGCAGTGGCTCGAGAACGAGACCGAGCTCCTCAAGTTCGAGGTCTCCTCGCACGGACAGGCCACAAAGCTCCCCGACGACTACGTCTCCGAGCGCCTCGCATCCATCGAACGCGAAGCCAAGCGCCAGGAGGCCGAGGCTCTCGCGACGTACGGCATGCTCGCCGGCCAGGACCCGACCATCGCCCCGCTCCGTCGCGCTCTCGCCGTTTGGGGTCTCACCATCGACGACGTTGGAGTCGCCTCGGTGCGTTCGCGTCCTCCGGCAGCTTCCCCGAAGCCCAACTGACCGTTGCTCTACAGTTCCACGGCACCTCGACCGTTGCCAACGACAAGAACGAGTCGAACGCGTACAACGAGCAGTTCCGTCACCTTGGCCGCGCCAAGGGTAACGCCTGCCCCGTCATCGCTCAGAAGTGGCTCACCGGACAGTGCGTCCTTCGACAAGACCCGTCCACTGATACACGCTGACCGTGCTTCTGCTCCAGCCCGAAGGGAGGTGCCGCCGCCTGGATGCTCAACGGCTTGGCCCAGGTCATTCAGAGCGGTCTCGTTCCCGGCAACCGCAACGCCGACAACATCGGCGAAGAGTGCGTATCGCTCGTTCACCCTACCTTTGCATCCAGCTGACGTCCGTCCGTCGCAGGCTTCGCGCGTTCGAGTACCTGCTCTACCCGTCCAAGTCGATCCAGACCGACGGCATCAAGGCTGGTCTCCTCACCTCGTTCGGCTTCGGTCAAGTCGGTGGCCAGGCTCTCATCGTTCACCCGAGTCTGCTCATCGGCGCGCTCGAGCCCGCCCAGTTCGAGGCGTACAAGAAGCTCAACGACCAGCGCAAGAAGTGGTCATACCGTCGCTTCAACGATGTGAGCCTCACTGCTCTACTCGCTCACGAGTCGTGCTGACTCCGCCTCGTGCAGTTCTTCACGAACGGCAAGCTCGTCATTATCAAGGACGGCACGCCCTTCACGCCCGAGCAGGAGAACACGACCCTCCTCAACCCGCTCGTCCGCGCCGTGCCCGACAAGACTGGCTCGTACTCGATGCCGAAGGAGTTCCCTGCCACCGTCCCTCGCAGCAACAACGCCGAAGTCGCCAACAAGCTCGTCAGCGCGGCTGTCGGCGGTGCTTTCGGCGTCGGCACGGACGTCGAGCTGATCAGCGCCGTCCCGACCTCGGAGTCGTTCCTCGAGAGGAACTTCACCCAGGACGAGATCGCCTACTGCAAGGCCGCACCCGACTTCCGCGCTAGCCTCGCCGCGCGCTGGTCCGCCAAGGAGGCCACTTTCAAGGCTCTCAAGACCGAGTCGAAGGGCGCCGCCGCCAGCATGCAGGACATCGAGGTCGTCTCCACGTCGCAGGGCCCGACTATCAAGCTCCACGGCGAGGTCGAGAAGATCGCCCAGGCCGCCGGCATCACGGCCTTCGAGGTCTCGCTCTCGCACTCGGAGGACGTCGCTTGCGCCGTCGTCATCGCCCAGAAGTAGATGCTCAGTCGGATCCGTAGATTCTCGTAGATTCTCCTCCCCTTGCTTGCTTACTCTGTCTTCTGCATCTTCTCCCGTTTCCTTGCAAGGTTCTCTTGGTTTCGCATATCCTCTCTGCTTGCGAGCGAGTAGCTGAGGGCCATGATATGCGATGCGATGCAATGCTGCCTGTACAGTCCGCTCACTCTCCTTCCTCTCGCGATGCCTTCACCTCTCGCCGTCTCCGCTTCTCCAGCCGCGCTACCGCCGCCTCTTCCTCCTTCATCGCCAGACGCAGCAAGTTGCCAAGGTCGTATCGGTTCCGCTGAGTGAAGCCGCGAATCAGTGTCCTGTAGGCGGGCCGGCGGATCCTCTCAAACTCGTTCGACGAGATCGTGGCCGGGTCGACCGCAGAGGACGCCTTCGGGCTTGACAAGTCGACACCGAGATGACCACGCGCGATCGTGATCAAACCCGAGATGTCGTCCTGTCTCATCCACCGAACAGCGTTGGCGAGTAGCATGTTCGGCAGGATGTCGCCGCGACCCAAACGTCCGTTGGCTGGACGCTCGACGTCCTGCTTGCCGCCAGCAGGAGCCTTCGCCTTCGGATCGTGTGATGCGGCGGTGCACGCTTCGTGCTCCCGGACAATCGCCCTGACCCGCTTGACCTGTGTCTTCCCGCAAGTCCTGCGCCGTCGCTCGTGCGTGACCGTGACCCGCTCGTACCACTCGTCCTCGACCTCGACGCGCTTCTTCTGCGTGTCGGTGCGGTGCATCTCGCGCGCGACGAGAATGGCGGTGATGTCGTCGTCCGCCTCGATGCCTGCTCGCTCCATCCGCGACAGCAGTCCTTGCAGGTTCGGATGGTTACCGTGCGTCGCGACAACCTCGAGAAGATTGAGCCAGAGCTCCTTCGTCGGCTCAAATCCCCATCGCCGTAGCTGAGCAAACGTCTCCCACGCCTTGGGCAGACTCGAGGAATCGTGCTTGGCTTTGGCGAGAGCGGCGAGTCGCAGCTGGAACGACGAGACTGTAGGTTCGACGGTCGGATGGTGGCACAAGGTCGTCCAGGCTTGCTGCGAGAGAGGCCCGTGCGAGGAAGGAAGGAGGCGATGGAAGTGGCTGCGGCGAAGGGCGCTCGAGGGGATGGACTCGAAGACCTCCTGCGCGAGACGAGGGTTGCGGGACTTGACGAGATGTCGTAGCGTTTCGTCGACGACAGAAGACCGGGCGACGCGCTCGCCCACCGGTGACCGAAGCAGCGAAACGACTGCGGTCGCCAAGTAGTCCTCGAGCGGAGCGTCGAGGGCGAAGCCCGTACAGAGTACCCGCACAGCTCCCTCGAGAACCGGCAAGTCGCCGTCGTCGAGCTCGCCCAGCGCGGCAACGACCGTCGCCCACAGTTGGAGTTGCGGAACGATCACCTCGGATCGACGACGTTTCGTTCCGTCCATGCTGAGGACCTCGAGGATCTTCGACGCGGCAAATACCTGCAGACTCGGCTCGAGGGGCGGTTCGTGGGCGACGAAGCGTTCAAGGATGTCGACCCGCCGCGCTCGAAACGCTGCGGCTGCGAGTGCGCGCAGAACAGATGGAGACGAAGTGCGCCGATTGTCGAAAACGTGGCGGCCGATGTCGTTCAGAACGGCGCGGTCAGCACCGGGATGAAGGTCGCGAGGGAAGAAATGGCGTTTGCTGGCCTCGAAGGATGGGTAGAGGAGGGAGAGGAAGGTGATAAGGATGGCATCGTCGAGGGCGGATGGGATGACCGATCCGACGACTGCACCCGCTGCAGCGGACCGGGGCTGAGCGAAGGTCGGCAAGGCAGACCATGCCTGCCAAGCCCACAACCCGAGGACAGGTCGCGACATGCTGTACTTGCTCTTCGGGAGGCGAGCTTTGGCGACGGCAGCGGTCGACCTCGTAAGGGTTTTGGCGGACGGCAAGGGCTGGACGAAGTGCAAGAGCGATGCGATCGTCGTTCGGTCGACAGGCGTTTGCGAGGCCGTCATCGTGCCGAGCAGCTGCGACAGCCCGTGCAGCCGTTCGTCCCGCCATCGCTGCAGCGGCTGAACGGCCGTGACTTCCGACGCTTCCGGAACAGCGTACGCTGCGACGAGCAGGTTAAGCGCCTGCAGCTGGTCGACCCTGTCTTCCGCATCCCGCTTCGCCTTCTCCGCCTGGCGGTGACAGCCATCCGCAGCCCTCTTCTCCGGCGTTTGTATCTTCCGACGCACGAAGAGGCCGAGAGCGCTGGCGCCGAGGAAGAGTGCTTGAAGGAGAAAGGGAGTGAGAAGGCGAGGGTTCTGAGAGTGAGGCTGCGGGTCGAGTCGTATAGGTGGCGGAGGAGTAGGCGGACTTCGAGGTACATCGTCGTCGAGAAGAGAGGAAGTTTGTGATCGCTGAACAATGTCGAGAGGAGAGGCATCTGGAAAAGCGGAATGTGCAAGTCGTATTCTGTCGAAAACTGGCGCAAGGAGTACGGCGGCGTCGGCGGCAGTCCGCTCGCTCGAAGTTGACTCGGCGGGCGGAAGAGGGATCGAGGGAGAGGCTCGCGCGCGGGCGGGAGGAGGCGAGTCTAGCCGGACGGCTGCAAGGACAAGGAGGTCAGCGGGAGACCACAGTCGGAGCTGCTTGGACGCACCACTCGTCGATGCGACCGGTACTTCGACTCCTGCAGCATGGAAACCCAGCTCAGGACCGCCTCTTCGCACTGGAGAGTCGCTCGAGAGACCCGTCCTCCAACTCAGCAAGTCCGCCTCACACGGCCCGCCGGCCGGTTCCGCTGCTTGTGCGACATGTTGCAGCCGCTTCTGAGTTGAAGTCGAGGTGCAACGGCACGGACTGGCGCGGTGGACGGGCGTTGGCTGGTATCGCGGGGCGAGGAAGGGGAGGAGGAGCGGTCCGCCTGCGAAAGCGTCGAGCGGCGCTCTTGACCGCATGGACGTAACTGTAGCACTCGTCCAGCACCTCCAGACTGTTCAACAAGCCAGACGGAGCGAGTCGCGGACGACGACAGCGCCAAACCTGCTCGCTCGCCTCTCTCGCTCCTTCCCTTCACTCGCTGTCGCGCTGTCCAGCTGCAAAGGCTGCGATTCGTCGCTGCACGTGCACAGAGCCACCCTGCTGGCTCATCCATCGCGACGGGGTCAAGGTCCGAGGCTTCCACCAACCCGCCAGCTCGCCCTCGACGGGCAAAGTTTACAACAGACGGCGCGCACCACCAGCAAGGCCAGGGCTCTCCGTGCGAGGCCCAGCAGCTTCTCGACGAGTCGGCCTTGTCCCAGCGCGAGGACCGCTGCTTGCTCGACGACACCAGGCATGGACTTGCCCTTCCCTCGCGAGGTGGACCCGCTGTTTGTCCAGAGATCTCCTCGCTCTCGTTCCCGGCCAGGAGGGTGGCTGGGCACTGTGCGTGGCAACACGGACGAGGCGGGGCAGGAGGACCAGGGTTAGAGCGGGACAGCGCATGCGAGGGACGCTTACGAGGTCGATTTTCGGCGGGAAGATGGGATGTGCGCGAGGTTGGCGCGGTCCAGTACACGCACCGAGCACTGTTGAGCTCGCCCCCCGCGGGTCGTGTGCTCGCAGGCTCTGGTGTTGGAACCGCTTGAGTGCAATTCGCGGTGGGAGGGGGTTCGCTTCCTCCTAACTCGATTCGGACTACTCTTGCGGCTGGACACGGCACGGCGAGACACCATGCATGACGAATACTCGGCTTGGGCGCAGAGGGACGGGTCACGCTCTCGCGGGCAACACTCGACCTCTCGTTCGAGTCGAACGGGATGTGTCGAGCAACAGCGAGCCCGCTGTGCGGCTCGCCCCGGCTTCTGACCAGGGTCGTCTCGTCGCACGTGTCGTTGCAATGCCACTCTGTATCCTTAGAGCTCGTCTGAGCGAGAGTCGAGAGCGAGAGACCTTTGCCTTGCCTCTTTCCCTCCTCCCCTTGAATCGCTGTTCTCGCAACGACTTAGAATGACCGCTCGCTTGCCTCCCGAGCTCTTTGGACTCGTTCTTGGGCACGTCGTACGCAGCCTGAAGAACCCGCGCCCGTTCCTCGTCGCCTGCTCCCTCCTCGACCGCAGCTACGGCCAGGAGGCCCAGCGCATCCTCTTCAAGCGATGCTCGCGATTGCGCCAGCCAGAACGGGTCGAGGGATGGCTCGCATCGCCTCACAGCGTCGCGACGGAGGACCTGGTCGTGTGGTTCCCTCCTCCCGACCACCGCGCGACCGATAGCGACTTGCTCTGCGCCAGCTTCGGGATGGATTCGCGTCTGGCGAGGGTGCTGGGCCGTTGCGCAGCTCTGAAGAGGCTGCATGTCCACCTGACGAAGACGGTCTCGCCGGCGTTCCTCACGAAGGTCTCGTTGACGAGTGTGTCGCTCTTTCGGCCAACGCGCGTTAACTAGGCTGATGCTAGTCGCTCTGCAGGTCTTGAGCACCTCGAGATCTCTGCCAACGCAGGCTACTTCGACCCTCTTCGACGCAAACCGACCGGAACCCTTCGCCTCGACAGCTTGACATCCCTGACGATCGGCGGCGACGTGCACGAATCCTTGCTCTTTTCCCTTCACAAGTACTGCACGCGCCTCACGCACCTCGACCTCTCACGCAGCGGCGAGAGCATCGATCCTGTCCACGCTTACGACCTCGTTCGTGCTTCCTCAAGGACCCTGACCAGCCTGAGTTGGCGCCAGCACGACGTCCCGAGCCCGCCTTCGCTGCAGCGTTTCACGCAGGAGGTGTCGAATTTGAAGCATCTCACCTACTTCCAGCTTGACGGGCCCATCTGCGAATGCTGCTACTACGCTCTCGTCGTCGCGCTTCCTCCGACTCTTGAGACTCTCGCCTTCCGCACGGAGGAACACGACATTCTTGCAGAGCTCTTGCAGGGGACGATTTTCCTCGAGGACGGTTTGGGCGAGTCGGGCTGTGAACCTGTCGTCCCGTACCTCAAGCTGCTCGTCCTCCCGAAGAAGGTGAAGAGACTGCTACCGCTCAACGCAATCGACGGAGCTGCCAAGCGAGGCATCGCACTGCGCTTCACACGAGTGCGTCTCGTCGTTCACGCTGTTGAGGGTCGACACTCACTCACCGAATCCGCACAGCCGAAACCAAGCGACTGACTCTCGACTCCCGCATAAGCGAAGCGCTTCCTTCTGGCTCTCAACTTCGCAAGTCTATCGTGTTGAAGGAACTGTCTAGGGAATCTTGGGATAGCAGAACCAGCCTAGCAACGTCGCAATCTACTTGGCCTCGCCGCCGATCCTGAAGCCCGTGCGTTCGAGGAACGCCTTGAAAGACGAAGCCTTGACGCCCAAGTCCTCGAAGCTCTTGTCCTCCTCGGGCCTCATCGTGCCGTGGCAAATTGAATCGGGTTCGAGTTCGTTCACGTACCTGCAAACCCCGGTCAGTCCTCAGTAGCGAGCAGACGAAGGTTTGACGCACGAGAACACGTACTTGAACGAAGGCACCATGGCCTTGGGGAAGCCAACAAAGGCGACATCGATCTGAGTCGCCTGGGACGATCACCTTCTCGCCTATGACGGCTTCGTCCTGCGCGGCGATGTCGTCCATCGTGCAGCAGGGAGCTTCGATGGGGTAGGTCTTGCCGGCGGTGACAGCGGGACCTTTCGTGAATGCAGCTGTAGGTGGTGAACCGATCAGACCAGCCAAAGACGAAGAGGAGAGGCAAGTACCGGCAGCGTAGGTGCCGACGTCGTGACCGTCGTCGACCCAGCCGAGCTGGAGGTCGATCGAGCCGACGACGTTGAAGATGGCGATACCGTCGTCTGTGAGGGCGTGAGCGAGGTCATCAGTCCCTGACAACGAGAAGGAGCGGGACGGGACCCACCTCCACGCCTTGCGTACAGCGGCAGCTCGAAGTTCGAGTAAAAAGCTCTGTCACCTCGTTGCTGCCGTCAACAAAGCTTTCGGCCTGAGAGGAAGGGCAGGGAGACGCACCCTGGGATGAGAACCGTCATGTTGTCCAACTTCTCCTTGGCGTACTGCTCGATCTCGGCCTTGTGCTCGAAAGGGACGACGTGGGTGTACTTCCCGCCGCTGGCTTTGGCGATCGAAGGCAGCGACGAGTAGACAAAGTGCTCGATCCCTTCGGCCTGCAAACGCTCGCGAGGTCAGCTCACGCTCAGTTCGAGGGAAGATGGACGCCAGACGGACCTTGGCAACATCGACGAGGGTCTTGCCTTGCTCGACCTCGTTCTCAGCCACTGCCATGGCCGCAAAGACCCCATACGCGCCCTTGAGCGCCTTCTCCAGGCTCTCCTTGTCGTTCAAGTCCGCCTGGACGATCTCCAACCTTCCCTCGTTGACGTACCTGTTGTGAACAGGGAGGAGAGAAGTAGCCTTGGAGCCTGAGGGGTTGGTGCTCAATGCGCGGACGGAGAAAAAGGTCGAGGAGAGGAGGGCCGCGACGACGCCTGATTCTTGGTGGCCTGTCGCGCCGACGACTGCGCTTGTTCGAGCTGAGGACATTGTTGTGAGCGAGTCGAGAAAGAGCGAGAGGAAGAGTGAGGTAAGTGAGGAGACGAGAAAAAGAAAGGTGTGGGTGAGGAAGGTCAAGCAAAACTGGGCATGCAAGCGAAGGCCGGGTGCAAAGAGCCGCACGCACGCTCCCAAAACCCCGGGTGAACCTCCGCGAAACCGAGACGAGACGCCGAAGTCGCGTCGAGTCGAGCGAGGAGAAAAGCAAAAGGTATGTTATCAAGCGGCGCCCGCGACACGATACTCCTTCTCTGGCCCTTCACTGCCCATCGCCAACCTTGACCTTCTTCGTCTCCTGGCCCTCCTCCGCGCCCTCCTTCTCCGCCTTGCGCTTTCCCTCCCCCTCGTCGCCCTTGACCGGCTTGACAACCACCACATTCTCCTCCTCGCCTCCCTTTCCCTCTGCCCCTCCCGCCAGGTGCTCCTCCACAACTCCAGGCACAGGAACCACCTTCTTTTTCCGCTTGACCAACCCAGTCAAGTCATTCACCGCTCCCGACGCCGCAGCTTCAGCCATTGCAGAGGAAGATTGGCGCAGGAGAGCTTCGAGGGCTGAGTCGGTGCTGGTGGGTGCGGGTGCGGTGGGGATCGTGCGGAGGTCTTCGATCTGCAGCGAGGCGGGGACGTCAGTGAGAGTTCGAGCAGGAAAGGGAGGGGCGTCGGACGAACCTTCATGTCCACGTCGCCCATCAACCCCTTGATGTCCTCAATCTCCCTCCTGACCTTGTCCTCCCTCTCCGCCTCCGGCACACCCTCCAGCTCAGCCAACTTGCTCACAAGCACACTCTTGGCCTTCTCCGCATGGCTCACCGCGCGACTCGTGGCGTTCGGAACGAACTCGAGCGCGAGGGCGGTGAGCATGTGTAGTTCGGAGAGGGCGCGGTCGTGAGGGGGAAGGAGGCGCGAGAGGAGGGAGAGTGAAGAGGTGTATTCTTCGACGGCGTTGTCGAATTGTTCTGCGCGAGAGGCGAGGCGAGCGTTAGCGAGCGTGCGTCATTGTGTGGGATGAAGTACGCTTGGGAGAGACGCTGAAACGTACCCGACTCGGTCGCAACATCTCCCAACAACCGATGCACCTCTGCCAACTTTTCCTCCCTCTTCTTTTTCTCCTCGTCCTTCCCCTTCCCGTCCTTCTTCAACTCCCCGATCTCGGTAGTGAGGATCGTACGCGCGAGGTCGAGCATCTGGAACGCCGATTCGAGGTCGTCTTCCCTGTCTCCGCTCGGAGCGTCCTCGCCCTCGCCTTCGCCGTCCTCGTCCGAGTCGGCGCCGTCTCCTTCGTCGCCTGAGGCGTCTTCGACGTCACCGCCAAAGTGAAAGTTGGGGTTTGAGGGACCGGCGGCGGCGGGAGTTGAGGAGGAGGAAGCGCCGGCAGCGCCGTTGGAAGGGCCCGCCGCGCCCGTCGCTGCGTCTACCGGATGCACGCAGCCTCGTCAGCTACGGAACGAGGAGAAGGGATCGCGCGCAACGCACCCTCTCCTCCTCCCGCTCCGGCCCCAGGCGCCGCCCCTCCCAACACCGCACTCTGAGCAATCGCGCTCCCCAACAACGCCTTGCCATAGAGGACCAAACTCTCGACGTTCTCAGGCGCCAAATCACCGTACTTGCTCGTCCTGCTCACTCGAGGCATCTCATCAGTTTGGGCAGGAGAGGGGAGGGAGAGGATGGGAGGGGACAGACGAGGATTCGAGTGCTTGGGCGAGGAAGTCGCATGCGTCGGAGTACTTGCGCAGGGCGAGTGCGCGGATGCCGCGTGCGAGGTGGTCGTCGAGGGCGGCGGCGGGGGGAGCTGGGCTGCGGGTGGATGGGTGGGCGAGTGTGGTCAGTGCGGTAGACTCGGATGGAGAGAGATCGTGCTGCTCACTCTGCCATCGTGTGTTGCTGCAATGTGAGAGAAAAAGAGGAGCACGCGAGGTGGACGAGATCCGACGCGACGACGACGGGCTGCGTGGGTTGGTCAGCAACGAGCGAGCCCCGCGCGGTTGTCCTTTATCCTCGTCGACGCTGGGATGGCTTGTGTGGTGATCAAGGCGAGCGTGCACGGGCAGCCACTCGCTCGCCGCGTGTCGTTCAAGGATGCACACTCCGTCAGCCAACCCATACCCTCGTCGTCCTCGTCGCTCGCTTGCAGCTGACAGAGTGTCCACACAGCTCGACAGGGACTCGCTCGCAACCAAGGTGTGCACGAAGAGACTCGCAGACGAACAGCACGCTGACCACCTTGGACCCGCCGACCAGCTCGCCCGCTCGTTCACCCTCGAGCCAGACACCTTCCGCATCGCATGCACGTACAATTCCCGCCGCACCCCTCACCGTTCTCTGACCAGTTTCACGCGCAGACCGCGACGACGACAACGACCTGATCGAACTCGCAACCACCGCCGACCTCGTCGAATGCCTCGACTACTTCGCGACAGACCCCTCGCTCTCCTCCGCCTCTTCCTCTTCCTCCTCACTCGGCAGACCCCCCGCATGCATCACCGTCAAACTCGAACTCATCGTCGAGTACGACGGGCCCAGTCTGAGCGAGACGGACGCCGCGTCGAGCGTGTGGTCTGCGAATAGGTTCGCGGCCGGTCCTGCGAGTCGGGCGAGTTCGTTTGGAGGAGAGAGGGAGGCAGTCTTGAGGAGGTGGAGGATGCAGCAGCAAGAGGCGACCGTCGATCGAGGCGAGCAAGAGGCCGCGGACGCAGCGAGCGACGACTGGATCCGTCGACCTGCTTTCGCCGTCGCCGTCGACTCGGTCTCCTCTTCAGCGTCCGCATCCGCCATCGACGCCGACAACGAGCAAGACTGGGACACCCGCACCGTCTCATCCGTCTCCTTCGCTCCCAGCCCCCTTTCCAACCCACGCCCGTCCGCCCGCCGCCCGACGAACGGATCAGAAGACGCCCTCTATCCCAACTTTGCTCCTCCACCGCGCTGGCTCGCTTCCCTCGGTCCGGCTGGCCAACCGCCTTACCCGCTCCCGTTCTCGTTGTCGCCGTACTCGGCACCGAGATTACCGGTTGTCGTACGCCCCGAGCATGCTGTGAACGCGGGCGGGAACGACTACCCGCTTCACGCCTTTGCGCCGCACCCATCTTACCCGCTCTTTCCCCCGATCCATCCGTCCTCCGTACGATCCGTCGCGAACTCGTTCTCGGATCTCGAGATAGGCGGCGGAGGAGCGAGTCCGAGTCAGAGCTTGCGCGAGAGGGTGCAGGACTTGTTTGCGCCGAGTTCGGACGAGGAGTCGCTTCTTGAAGGGGGAGGGGGAGGGGATCCGTTGATGGGACGAGAGGTACAGACTGACTCGCTCTTCGCGCCTGCGAGGAAGGCCGAGTCGAGCTACACCGTCACAGACTCGGACACCGACTCCCTCCTTCCCCCTCCCGCTCCCGCTCAGAACGCAGACAAGCACGCCACCCTCCGCGTCCGCGCGCGCAACTTCGTCCTGGCAGGCGAGTACTGGTGCGCTGAGTGTGGTCGCAAGATTGAGGGCGCGAGGTATTCGTGTGCGGTGTGCGAGGGGTTCGATTTGTGTCGCGATGTGCATTGCCTTCCCTTCTCTCCCTCTCGTGAGACTGTGCTGACGGGTTACGTGAGCGCAGTGCGAACTCGGACCTACCTCCCGCTATTCCTCCCGCCGCCCAAGAGGGCCCGAAACGATTCCCCTCCTGCACGACCCCTCCCACATCCTCCTCAAGATCCCCATCTCCCTCCCCTCCTCCTCCTCCTCTTCCGCCCTCGCTTCCGCGAGAGAGTTCGCCTCTTCCCTCTCACACCCCGCTCCACCCGCTGCTGCTCCCGAAGGGTCATATCTCCAAGACGGAGACCTCTCTTCGTACTGGTCTTGGTGGCAGAGATGGTATGCGCAGATGCAGGAGGGGGAGGGGGAGGTGGAGGTGTCGAAGCATTCTTGGGACGCGATCGAGGGACGGACGTCGGCTGGTGTGAATGGGAAGGGGGAAGGGAGGGAGAGGCATACGTATCCGCCCACATCGCCTGCGCAGCCTGCACCTCCTGCTCCGCCTGCTCCGCCCGCTCCACCCTCACTCGCCTCCTCCGCGTCGCAGCAATCAGCCATCGTCCGCCCCTCCACTTTCACGCGCTTCTCATCCCCTCACTTCAGCCACTTTGCGCTCGCCTCACACGGCGTTCGGTGCCGCAATTGCGGTGAGATGATCGTTGCTTCGAGTGGAGGCGGAGGGGAGGGAGGAGAGGAGAGGGGAGTGAGGTGGTTGTGTGGGAATTGTCCGACTGTGCCGAGTTACGACCTTGTGAGTCCTCATCTTCTCCCTTGCCGAGGAAGAGGAGGATTGAGCTGATGATTGGCGGATGTGTGCGCAGTGCCCTACTTGCGAACCGCTCTCGACACGCATCCACGACCCTACACACACCTTCCTGCGCCTCACACACCCTCTCCGCCGTTCACTGCCCAGCATCTCGCAAGGCCTCTTGCCGGTCCTCTGTCTGCCCCCGACGAAGGAGCAGGAGGAGGAGGAGGGAGAGGGAGAGGTGGTGCATCGGACGGTCATTTGCGATGCGTGTGGAATGAGGATCAAGGGTGCTTGGATGAGGTGTTGTGCGTTTCGCCCTTTTCCCCTTCTCTTCCTTTTCCTCTCCTCGCTGTCTCTCGCAACTGACTCCTCGCCCCTCACGCAGGCCACTGCCCCACCTCGTACGACCTCTGCCGCCCCTGCCTGCTCTCCTCCGCCCCAATCGCAGCAGGCCACAACCCCTCGCACGTCTTTGCAGCCCTCAAGCGGCCTGTCGATCTGGAGTTGTTGAAGAGCGTGACGAGGATCACGAGTAGGAGACCGAGGGGGTTGGTCGAGTGGGATTTGTATGCGTAGCGAACGCGAAGATGGAGGACGCGGGTGTGTAGAGTAACGAGCGAGGTGAGATTGCGTATTTTTGTATGCGACTGAGCAACCTATGCGTGAACTGATCCGAACTACAGAGGCGAGAGTGAGAAAGAGGGAATCCCAAAAGACGCTACGATGAACAACGAAGGAGGCGGCGGGAAGGGAGGAACTGACGGACAACCCGCTGCGAATAGGACCGGAACTGACTAAGCTTGTACAACCGAAAGAGGAGGCGGACGGAGGACCGGAAGAGGAGGAGGGGAACCAAACATCCACAGATGAAAGGGAGACTATGATGCGGTGCGAACAGGCGAGCGAGAGGGAATTGTCTATGGTACTGATTTTTGCGAGTGCGGCGAGGTGAGAGGGAGGATGCGGTGCGAGGAGGAACAGAGGAAGGAAAGGGAGGTTCAGGCGCATCGTTGACGCTGCGAGAGGAGCGGAATCAGCGCCTGCAACCTCGATAGAGACGGCACGCGCATGCTCACCTTGAACGCATCAACATCGCCAGCATTTGAATCGACAGACAACCTCCTCCCGCACTCGAGCACTTCGATACTCGGGAGCCCAACCAACCCAAGCGACGACTCGGGCGTGAGGGGCGGCGACACCGGAGCGGGAGGGAGGTCGACGATGCTGTTCTTGCGCAACTTCGGGGGCGCATCGGTCGAGGGGAGGGAGGAGAGGGTGGGGAGGGGAGTCATGGAGAGGCGTTTTGCGCGGTGGAGCGGGTGAGAGACGGACGGCTCGACGTGTGGTGCTGGTCGGGAGGGAGAGGTGTCTCGTGGTGCGGCGACGAGGAAGATGGGCACGAGAGCGGGAGAAGGGGGCAACTCGAGGCTCATGTCGTCTCCCTCGCCCGACGCTGCGGAGGCACACCTCGAGCGCGCGCGTGGCCGCCGCTGGTCGAGTTCGAAGTAGGACGCTGTCGACGAGCTGAAGAGGGTGGTGCAAGGCGAGACGGGCGAAGGGTACGCCTGGGAGGGGAAGAGGAAGTTGGGCTTGGGAAGGTCGCCTAGGTCGAGTTCGAGCGAATTGCTGCGCGGGTGGTTCAGCGGCAGCGGGGCGGGTTCGTCGACTGCGCGCAATTGCAAACGACTGGTGAGTGAGAATGGACGGAGATAAGGCAAAGCGGGGGATCGAAGGGAACGCACTTTGAGAGGAGGACGAGGACGAGTCGAGTTCGAAGTGGTCGAACGGGGCGTGCTCGAGCCAGGCTGGGTGCTTCTCGGTGAGCATGTCGATGTCGTCGTGGGCGGGAGGGAGCCGTGGGAGGGTCAGGTCCTCTCCGTCGTCGAGGTGCTGCACCGCAACCGAGCCGGGTCCCCTGGCGCCGGGAAAAGCTTGGGTGCAGCTGTCGTGCGCCGTGCGAGTGGTGGGTAGGGAGAGGTGCAAAGTGTGTGTGGTGCGCTGGTGAGCGAGCTGTCGCCGTGGCGGGGCCGCACGCAGCGGACGAGGCGTTTCGAGCGTGCCCACGGGGAGCTGGACGGGGATTGATCGGGGCGAGGTGAGCATGAGCGCGGTGGTCGAGGGTATCGAGGGAAAGGAGAAGAGAGCGGGCTGCCTCGTGAGGAACTGGCAACGAGGGAGGGAGAAGGACGGCGCAGGACGAGGAGGACGACGGAGTGGCCACAGCGAGAGGACGAGAGGGATCTTCGCCTCCTTCTGCAGTATTCCTGGAGCTCCACACCTGAGACCACTCTGATCGTCTGTGCCTGGCTAATAGCAACCCAGGTCCAAAACTCTCGCTGCCCTCGCTCTCTCTCACACTCTGCGAGCCACAGCACGCCGCACTCGCTCGTCAGAACGAATGCAAGGGAAGCACCTCCGCCCGCTCGCACAGCTCCCCAAGGCAGCAGCACAGTGTGCGCAGGCGGTAAGCGCACACGCCCCTCTCGCGTCGCCCCTTCGCCCCGTCTCGCCGCTCCACCTCGCCAGCCGGCACCCGGGGCTTCCTGGAACGCTCCCCCTGCGCACTCTCCCTCCCCTCCACTTGGGTCCCGCTCGTGCCGTCGGATCCCGCATGCTCACTCGCACTCGCACTCGTTCTCGCAGGGAGCGGCGTACGGCAAGTGCATCGGCGCGCGCTACCAGGACGTCGACAAGGGCATGTGCGCCGCCGAGTTCCAAGCCTTCAAGCAGTGCGTCACCCAGGCCGTAAGTCCTCGCCTTCGTTTCGTCCTGCGCAAAGGCTCGAGCTGTGGCTGACCTTGCTCTTGCCCTGGTCTAGATGAAGCGACCGGCCCGCTCCTGAGGGGCGCTTCCGCCAGAGCGTGCACTCATCCAGGGCAGGATCAGCGCCAACGTCTGTCATTTCCGCCGCACCCGCCCGCCCGCCCGCCAGACCTCGACCTCCGTCGCCACTCGCACTTCCTGACGCATGGCTCGTAAATTCACCGTGTCTCTCGTCCTCAGCCTGCCTTGCTGGCATGCCAAGTCGCTGCTCGCTCGGTCTAGGCTATGTAGCCCGCTCTCTCCCTTTTGACGACCCTGCACTGTACAAAGCCCATACGCATCCCCTCCGTCTCCTGGCCGAACGTGCAGCGCATTCGCCTTATCGCAGCCCAGGCTCAACGAACCCAGCAACAGCTCCAACCTCTCGCAACCCGCTGATCCTCCGTCATCCTTCCAAGCAAAACAGCGCAGAGCGTTGGCGCTTGCGACGAGGCGTGCATCTTGCTTTTGCTCGCTTGGCGGATGAAAGGTCCACGGTCTGCGCTGGCGACCGAACCTGCTTGCTCATTCGCAGAGCCCGCCCGTTGGCTGGAGGTTTCCGCTCCATCCGCTTCTGCTGCGTCGCGACTGTTCGTGGGAATAGGTCTTGTCGAGGGACTCGCAGCGCTTCTCTCCGGAGAACGTGCCGCCACTTGGCTTCCATGCAATCGAGCAACTTATTGCAAGAGAAATGTGCGACCTGAGCGAACTCGACGCTCGATCATGCCAAAGTCAAGGCTCCCGAGATTGCCCTCCTTCCGTCGCTTCGCTCGCGGTCGGTGCTTCATCTCGCTCGCTGGGCTTCTAGAACGCGCGGAACATGCCGTCGTTCCCAGTCCACGCTCGCTAGGGCAGCCCAAACCACCCCCTCCATCCTCCTCCCTCCTCCCCCTTTCCATTCTGCTTCCCATCCTTTCCCCCGCCCGTCCGCTCATCGAAGCTGATAACAGGCCGGACAGGCGTCGTCGAAGGCCGGCGATGGTGGTTCGGAAGCAAGTCGGACATGTCTATTCGCGAGAGGTAGATCTTGAGCGAGTCGGGCGGCGCGAGGGGAGATCCTGTTTGCGGCGAGTGGGCAAGTAGGAGGGACGAGGCTCGGGTTAATTCATGGACGAGCGCGCCCGAGCGAGAGCAGGGTAAGAGGAACCGTCTTCGGTAGAGCGCACCTTTACCCTCTCTTCGCTTCCCTCCGCCCTCCGTAGCGGACCCAGCCGCTCCGCTATCATCGACAAACAATCGCACCTCCTCTCCGCTGGTCTTGTATCGCCTGCGCTTGACGCGCTCTGCGAGTGCTGCGACGGCTGGAACTGTTTCTTTCGAGTTTGGGGAGGGAGAGGCAAAGAGGACGAGGTATAGGAGGGAGGGGTCCTGCGTCACGTGCATGCATCAGCACTGTGAAGGAAGGAGGGGGAGGGAGCGGACGCACGGAGAGGAGGGAGAGACACCGCTCGCAGTACGCATCGAGAGCGGCGGGCGAGGGGTCTGTGACTTCTACTTCGTTCGTCGCGAGCGTTCGGAGGCCGACTTTCTTCTGTTGCGGTGCTGGCGCTGGCGGAGGAGCGACGGGAGGAGCGGGTTTGGTTGACGCGGGAGGAGCGGAGCTAGTCGACGCTATTGGCGGTGTAAGCGCTGGACAAGCGGCTGTTAAAGGAGGAAGGGAGAAGAGGTGGTCGATGAAGTGGCAGAGGGCAAGGAGGGCGGCGATCTCGAGGCCTGTTGCGCAGAGGAGTGAGCGAGGCTGGGAAGGTCGGGAGGAGAAGCGGGCGGACCTTTGCGGTCTGCTGTGGCAGGCTCGACGCGCTGCCGGGGAGTAAGACGTCAGCTCGACCGGAGCGCACAGGAGATAGCGCGACGCACGGCGAGGTTGTAATCGAGGATTTCGATGTTTCCGCCTTTCTTCTCCGGACGAAAGACGACCACTGGGTAGTTCGGGTCTGGTCTTCGAGACTGCGAGGAGCGAATGGCCCAGTTCGTCTTGCATCGGGGGGAGAGAGCAGAAGACGTGAGGCGACGCACCACGCTGAGAGTGTATCCTCGATCCCCTCCGACCAAACTGACGATATCCCTCGTCCATACATACTGCACCTCCTCCCACTCCATCTCCCAAGCCCAACTCAGTCCCGCCTTGTTCCGTAGATGTACTTCAGCAGGCGGAGAGTCGAGGGAGATCAGGCGGTGTTTGGGGTTTGCAGAGGCGTTTGGGAGAGGAGGGGGAGCGATGTTGGATTCGCCGAGGACGGCGGCGGTGTAGGGGTCGACGAGGGTGATGGTGCCGGTCGATGGGTCCTGTACACGCCCTCTGATGGATCAGCTAAGGCAGTGGAGTCGGCAGGATGACCCGCTGAAAGCACCTTTCGCGCCTCGTACGCCGGCTCATCCGCTTTCCCAGCTCCCGAGTTGTCCACCAAGAGGTCCACACGCCCTGGCGCGCCTGTCCGCGGCCGTACGAGGAGGACAAACACTGCGGGCGGGGGAGCGGTGATGAGAATCGCGAGAGGGTGAGGCGAGCGAACGGGGGCGTACAGTTCGAGTCTAGAGGCATGGAAGCAAGCAGTGAGCTGTAGCAGGGCTCTTTCGAGCAATCTCAGCCTGGTTCAAGCGATGCCAGCGAGCAGACGAGGGCGAAGGAGCGAGCGGGGCGGTGCTGACCTCTCTGCGGAGGCGAAGGAGTGTCCACGGTCTAAAGTGCAGGATGCGCGCAGCGTACAAGAAGCGGTGAAAGGAGGCTATCGAGCGAAGAGAGGACAGGGCGATATCAGTGCTCCTCGTCGACCAAGTCCTCCGCGTCCTGCTCCTGCTCGTGCTCGAGCGCGTCAACGTCGGCCTCCGCCTCGTGAACCTCGACATCCTCGTGCTCGTGGTCGCCCGTCTTGCCAACCTTCTTCTCCGCCTCCGCTTCAACTTCGGCGTCGGGTCCAGCAGCCTTCCCACCGCCAGCCTCGTCCGCCTGCACGATCGCCTTGACCGGCAAGGCAGTCGTACCCTCGGCCGCTGCGGGAATCGCGACGCCCTCGTCCTCCGGATGCGCGCCAGGCGCCTCGGCAGGCTGGTTGAGCACGACCGAGGTCGTCATCTGCTCCTCTTCCTTCTTCGGCTTCTCGCCCGCCTCGACGCCGTGCTCGAACAGCGGTCCGTCGCGCTCGGCATCCCACACCGCTTCGGCGAGCTTCTCGACCGGCGGAAGATGGGGAGGAGCACCGACACCCGAAGCTGGCGCCTTCTCAACCGGCTCGAAGCCGGCTCGACCTGGCTGTACGGCGGGGGCGAGGGAGGTGGCGCCGTCGCTGGACGTAGCGGTAGTTGCGACAGCGTCGGGATGAGGGTAGTAGTCGGACTTCTGTGATAGCGAGATCCGTTAGCCCGTTTGCCGAACGAGTCCAGGGGCCAGCGCGCGCGCCCGAAAGAGCCTAGAGAATTGCGACTCGCCCTTTCGTGGAAGTCTGCGCACGAGAAGTCCCAGTTCCTGCCCAGTTTCTTCGCGCTCTCGCACTGGCTCCTCGTCCAGACGCCAGCGTACGCCAGTGGGCTGAGGTACCACCATGCTCCGACCGCCGCAAAGACAAGTACGCCCGTGATGTAGAGCCGCAGACGAGGCTTGAGGCGCGCTGTCGCGAAGTCGAACGAGGTGGCGACGAGGAGGAGGGCGAAGTAGAGCGCCGGGAAGTAGTGGTGCAGGAAGAGTTGGCGGCCCATGAGGAAGAAGGGGAAGTAGTGGAGGAACCAGCCGGAGAAGAGGAAGGTCGCGACGCGCTCGTAGAAGACGACTTGGGCTGAGTGCGAAAGCAAGTAGTCAGCGAGATTGTCCGGGGCTTAGGAGAGCCGGACGCCAAACGCACAGTTCGCAAAGTCCTTGTAGCCTCGCTGCGCCCGCAGGATGAGCAAGCCGCGGATGGCGACGTAGGAGAGGACAGCGATAGTCGAGAGCGCCCAGACGAAGGGATTGCCGATGAGGTAAATCTGGCGGTGGTCCTTGACCCAGCTGCAGAACGTAGAACCCGTAAGCCTGCAGTCCGATCTGACGAAGAGCAGCCTGCTTACAAGTTGATGCCACGGAGGAGGAGCGGCCAGCTATGCGGCCTCGAGTCGTACGCATGGCGGTCCGTCAAGCCCTGGTTCGTCTGCCACATAACGGCTTGAAGCTCGACGAACTTGGCGAGGAACGACGGGCGGCGGTAGTTGACCTTCTTTGCGTCGGCGGGAACTGCGGAGAAGACTCGTGAGAACAGATGCGATGACGAGAGGTCGGAAGGGCGGGACGCACGCATTGGGTGGACGTTGGTCTCCACATACCACAGGGCGTTCTCCCTGCTCGGGTTCTTGTTGCACGTCACTTCCTGCTGCTCGAAACCCCAGTCGGGAAGCTTGACCTTGTGACTGAAGAGGTAGCAGCCGGTGAGGAGGTGTCGCAGCCTGAACTTGGTCCGGAGCGTCTCAAGCTGCTTCTTGGCGACGCGGCCGTCCGACTCCGCTTGATCGATCTCGAGCACCCAGTGGTCGTTCGCATCGCCCTCGAAGCCTTCAAAGCCGTAACCGGAAACCTCGTTCTGGTAGTCGACCTCCGTGATGGGCGCGCGGATGTCGTGCGAGTGAAGCTTCTTGTGCGTCGAGGGGTGGTGGAAGACGAGAGTCGTGTGGTCGGGAACGGGCGCGGGAGGCGCGTGGTGCTCGGGGTCGGGGATGGCAGCAGTGTCGGCTGTCGCGTTCAGGACGAGCCAGACGTTGTTGTCGTCGCGGTGAGGGTAGAGCGTAATCTGTTGTTCTGTATGTGGGGAGTAGCGTTAGTTCCCCCTCCCCGCCTCCAAACGAAGAGTCCGCAACGCACGCTTGCTGCCGCCCGGGTAGGTCGACGGGTGCGAGTGCAGGTAGCCGCCTTGCGTGTGGACGTGGCGAATTGTGACGCGCGAGCCGATCATGACATCTGTGTCAACGAGCATACTCGGTCAGTTAGCTGCACTGACTCGCAGCCCCTCAACAAGGCCATGTCCCGTCTAACGCACCTGCAAACGTGTCCTCCATCCCGTGCCCTCGCAGCGTGTGTTGGAACTCGGAGCTCATGAACCCGTCGCCCTCGCCCGAGTTGCTGAGCACGGCGAAATGAATCGCAAACATGCTGATGTAGAAGACGACCGGGACGGCGATCAGGCAGACCGCTCTCGCAAGGAAGTGCCTCGCCAGGAGCGGGATGGGGACACGCAGATCGCCGAGGAGGTTCCACAGCTGGACAATCGTGTAGACGCCGACTGTTGCGATGGTGAATAGGCCGACCCATTTGCATGAGACGACCGCTCCGAGCGCGAGGCCGGTCAGGGTCAACCAGACCCACCAGCGTCGCGAGAAGGGTCCGACGCGCCCGCCTCGGTCTCGAGGGACGTCGTTCTCGTTCGAGAAGCCGACCCAGAAGAAAACGGAGAGGGCGGTGAAGAAGATTAGAGGCGAGTCGAGGAGGATGAAGCGGGACTGGGTGATGAGGCCGTTTTCGAACATGATGAAGAGGGAGCCGAGGAGGGCGGTGGCGGGGCGGAGTTGGAGGGCGCGGAGGGTGAGGTAGGCGAGCGGGATCAGGGCGAGTCCGAGGGTTGCGGGGAGGAGGCGCATGGCGATGTAGGGGACGTTTTCGGGCCCGTACTCTCGACCAATGTCCTTGAAGTCGAATGAGCCGCCTTTGAAACCGGAGACGAAGGCGACGAGCGTGATCAGGAGTTTGGCGAGAGGAGGGTGGACGTCCATGAAGAAGCGCGACTGGATGTACCTGCGGGGACGGTTGTCAGCCATCGTACGTGCGGCATTCAATCCAGACGGGACTGACTTGTTCGCGAAGCTGGATGAGGAGGGCAGAAAAGCAGAAGTGTCAGTCGTCGTTTCGAGGGAAACATGCGAGATGCCACCCGTACCCTCCAAAGTGCACCTCGTCAAAGCTGCAGGAGTAGTGGTTGTCAGCGGACTGCTCTCTCGAAGGCAGGACTGCAAACGCCGCAAGCCAGCCGCACAGAACGTCCTCGAGGCGAAGCGCCGACACTCACACAACGCTGGATGGCCTCCCGATCTTCCACAACCTCACGACACTCCCGAGCAGTATGAGCCCCGCCAGCACTCGGTTCTCGCCTGGCTGAACGACATCCAACCCCCCACCGACGCGACTCCAGAGGGAAGCGGGAGCGTCCCTCCTCGCGCGCTTGCCATCTGGCGAGCCAGTCCTGTCCGAGAGCGACGGTTTCCGACGTCTGTTCGTGAGCGGGACCTTTGCCGAGTACGGGTCTGGCGGGTACTGTGTCACTGAGGGGGTCGTGTCGCTCGGGCGGGTGGGCGTTGTAGGCCTGTCGAGGGTCCTGCGAGCCCTGAGCGGTTCCATTGGAGCCGTAGCACGCTTCCAAGCCTGGACTAGAGCGACAGGCAGAGCCGGTGCGCTTCCAACCTCGTCCTCGTCGTTGGCTGCGAAGGTCGACTTCATCACGCTCACTCGCACCCGCTCAAGAAGCTCAGTGACTGCTCTAGAGCTCGTTTGGACTCGCTTAGAATTCAGCCAAGCCGTCACTCAGCCACCCACACGCCCCAGCGTTCCTCCCGCGACTTTTCCCATCCTCATCACCAACCGGCTCTCTCCCTTCAGCCACACTCGCCACGCCCCTTTTCTTCGGTCCAGCACACTGTTCGAACCGCCTACTCGCCGCCCAGCCTCACCCGCCTACCCAGCATGTCGTCCGCCACCGCCGCCGACCAGGCGCAGGAGAACCAGTGGAAGCCGATCGGTGCGGCTGTTGAGGAGACCGTCGGAGCTGGAGACGTTCCCGTTGAGGTCATCGAGTCTCTTTGCATGCAGTGCCACGAGCAGGTGCGTATCCGCGTTGTGCTGGACTTCGAGCGCGAGCTGACCTAAGTCGCCACTCCCTCTTCTCGCTTCTGGCTCCCCAACCTACAGGGCGAGACTCGCATGCTGTTGACCGTCATTCCTTACTTCCGCGAAGTCATCGTCGTCTCGTTCCGCTGCGAGCACTGCGGTGAGTCGGCGATGTTCCGCTCGAGTATTGCGGAGCGTGCGCTGACTTGTCCTTCCGTGCCGTCTCACGCCTCTTCTGTTCTCACAGGCTACCAGAACAACGAGATTCAGTCGGCCGGCGAGATCCAGCCGCTCGGCGCCATTTACACCGTCAAGTGCACCTCCCGCGACGATCTGAACCGCCAGCTTGTCAAGTCCGAGTCGTGCACGATCTCGATTCCCGACTACCAGCTCACCATCCCTGCCGGCCGCGGGCAGTTCACGACCGTCGAGGGCGTCATCGCCGACACCATCCGCGACCTCGAGCACGACCAGCCTCTGCGCAAGATTCAGCACCCGGATGTGTACGCCAAGATTGAGAAGCTTGTGCAGAAGTTGCGGGTGATCGTGCCGGATCAGGATGCCGAGGCTGAGGAGGGAGCAGAGGGCTCATCGTCCGGTCCTGTTGCCGCGCCCTCCTCCGCGGCCGACTCTTCCGTCCCGATGCCTACCTTTACCCTCAAGCTTGACGACCCTTCCGGCAACTCGTTCGTCGAGACTCGCGGTGGCCTTGCGGACCCGAAGTGGTCGAAGCGGGAATACGAGCGGGACGCCGCGCAGGACGAGGCGCTCGGGTTGAAGCACGATGAGCAGCAGGACAAGAGCACGAGCCATTACCCTGAGGAGGTTTTGAGCTTCCCCGGCGTGTGCAGTCTGTGCGGCAGCGAGCTCGAGACCTTGATGAAGAAGGTCGACATCCCTCACTTCAAGGTGCGTTGCCGGTCTCGCTCTGTTCCTTTCAGCGGTTCCTCATATTGCTGTGCCGCAGGACATCATCCTCATGTCGACGAACTGCCACGACTGCGGCTACCGCGACACGGAGGTGAAGAGCGGTGGTGCTATCGCCGAGAAGGGACGACGAATCACGCTCAAGGTCGAAGACTCGGATGACTTGTCGCGAGACATTCTCAAGGTGCGTGCCACCATATTCTCAGCTGCATAACCTTTTCTCACCCCATGTCTCGCAGTCCGAAACCGCCGGCCTCATCATCCCTGAAATCGACCTCGAGCTCAACCCCGGCACGCTCGGCGGACGGTTCACGACCCTCGAGGGTCTTCTGCAGCAGGTGTACGAGGAGCTCGACGAGAAGGTGTTTGCGAGGGGCGACTCGAGCGAGGCGGGCGTGACGGACGAGATGCAGAAGTTCTTGGGCAACTTGAAGAAGGTGCGTTTGCACCTCTCCCGCTGACCATGCGTGTATCGCGATCGCACGGTATCGTGGCAATGTTGTAGTTCCGCACTGATGCATCTCCTCGCACTTCCGCAGGCCATGGCTGTCGAGATGCCCTTCACCGTCATCCTCGACGACCCTCTCTCCAACTCCTACATTCAGAACACCTGGGCGCCTGACGTCGACCCAAACCTGACCGAGGAGGACTACGAGCGTACGTTCGACCAGAATGAAGAGCTCGGCTTGAACGACATCCAGACCGAGAACTACGGGCATGTCGAGGTCCCCGAGGAGGGGCAGGGGAAGGATGGCGAGGCGGAGAAGGAGAAGGTTGTCGTGCAGGCATAGAAGCGTTCAGAGTGTTTTCTCGCGTCGTAATACCAGCATAGAATGACTAGACGAGCCTCTTTTTGCCGAGCCTTGCTCCGGCGAGAGCGCCTGAGAAATGAGACGCGTAGTCGTACAACAAGCGGGGACGTCTACGCAACCACTAGCACTAAGCCTTCAGCGTCTATCGCCTCGCTACGCCATCGACTAGGGCAGCCGAGTCGCCTGCGAGCGCGAGCGGGTGCGGCGCCGTCTTGCCCCCGATCCAGCCGAGAGTGTGCAGGCTGCCTTGCTCCGGCTGCTGGACGAGGTGGTCTGCGGAAAGCTGTTCGTCAGTCCCATCGAGGCGGGAGAGGCGGGAAACGCTCAAAACGCACAGATGTTCAGGGAGAGGCTGACGACCATCACGAGCACGCCCCACGCCAGCAACGCCATCGCGACCCATCGTAACCTCCGGTCGTGCTTCGTGTTCGAGTCCTTGAAGAGCGCGAGGACTGGAGAGACCGATGAGATCAGCTGGTGGTGTCTCGAGGGCGAGGAGAGATGCGGAACGTACAGAAGACCGAGGGCAGGATGAAGGAGATCGTGGTCGATCCTGTCGCGCCGACGAAGCCGAGAACAGTCTCGAGGCTCGAGACGAACATGGCGATGAAGAAAGTCGAGAAGAGCAGGACGGCGCTCTCAACGACAAACCGCGTCAAGGGGATGTCGTCGCCGCTGCCATGGTCATCGACAGGCGCAATGGCGGTGTCGTCGTCTTCAGCTTCGGCTGGCGTCGGGTGCGGGAAGAGAAACTTGTCGAGCGAGGCACGGGCTGGGTGGAGCTGGAGAGGGTAGGAGAAGAGGACGAGGATGGTGATGCCGACTTGGCCGATGGAGACGAGCTTGTTGCGAGGGTACATCCTGCGCAAGCGCGCACAGTCAGTGAACTGGGAGGATATGCGAAGCGGGAGGGCACGCACTCGATGATATTGCCAGCGACAGTCGAGCCGAACGTCAGGTATCCGAGGATGCCAAGGATCTCATCTGCAGAGTGATGTTGCGATGAACATAGAGTCGAACGCAACGAGCGTTGCGGCTACTCACAGATGATGGCGGCGCCGCCGATGGACGTCCCGACGACCAGGTTGAGCCGTGCTTGCGTGTTCTGCGCGAAGTCGAGCGTCAGTGGACCTAATCAGGAGTTGGGAGATTGTGCGCATCGCACCGAATTCAGCTCGTTGAACCTGGAGCGAGAGGGAAGTCAGCGCCTAGTTTCCGTGAGCGAGAGAAGGAGCGTTCACGCACACTGCAAAGATGTTCTGCGCGCAGGTGAATGCAAAGGTCTGGATCGAGATGACCTGGATGAAGGATGGACCGAAGCGGAAGAGCTGGATATCGCCTGGAGGCGGCAGTTCGGGGTGGCCGGAAAAGGAGTAGTAGACGACGATGAAGACGAGGTAGCCAATCGCGCAGAGGGCGATGTAGGAAGTGACCTTGAGGCTGTCGAGGCGGCGGAGGAAGGCGAGCGGGCAGAGGAGAGTCATCGAAGCGAGGATCCAAAGTCGGCGGTCGAGGAGTACTGAGTCGGTGAGGTCGGGCCGGAAGGAGTGGACGACTTTCGGCATCAGGCCGCCAATGACGATGAGATACGATATGGAGACGCCGAAGCCTGCGAGGGAGAGAGTAAGCCCAGGCCTGTGACGGAACGCTACCCGGACAAACACTTGAGGGCGACGGCAAAGTCGAAACTGCGAATTGACACTCATCAGCTTCCGTCTCAAGAGTCGGTGTAATCCGTACGTACAGCCTAGCGAGTCCTGGGTAGGTCAAGGTGCTGAGGCTGGAGAAGGATGCGGCGCGGTGAGGAGCCATCGCAGCGCTTCTCGTCAAGAGGTACAGCCCGAGCCACGCGGCTCCTCCGCAGACAAGCACCATGATGATGCCCGGTATCAGGCCTTCGCCAGCGAACGCGTGAGCCCTGCGAGAACAGACTTTCAGTCAGCTGGTTAGCCTCCTCGGGCGAACGAGACGCTACACGCACATTGCGAGCGAGCCGGTGCCGATGATGGTGTCTGCGGAGGTTCAGGAGTTGCACAGCAGGGCAGGAGAGGGCAGCAAGGCGATTGCACGCGGTCAGCTCCCCATCGGATCGCGAAACTGATGAGGCGGAAGAGAGGGAGAACGCACTCGCGAGGTTGGCTATACAGCTCGTCATCGTAGCTGCTCCATCCCGCTTGTGCTCCTTGACCGGTCCTGCCTCGTCGTCCGACGCGCCGTGTAGCAGAGGAGTCCGGTCCTCTCGGGGGACGGGCGAGTTTCGAGGCGACATCGTCAGGATCCGCTTCGTCGCCGGTTGAGGTGTCGTGTAAGAGACAGATTGAGCTGCTAGAGCGTGCAAGCAAACCTGTTCAGCGAGGTCGAGTGACGGGTTTACGGACGGCCCCCTCCTCCTCGCGGCTTGGCTCCTGACAGCGACCCTGCTTGGCTTCTTCCGCCGCTTGAACCGCTCGAATCGCCTTATTTGACTGCTTAAGACCGTCAGTGCGCCGCTACGGACAACCCGCACCCTTCTTGACCGCCTCCTGCCCCTCCTCGCCTCAAGATGCCGACTGCCTCGAGGAAGACTTCTGCGGACGCGGTGGTCTGCCAAGTGCGTGTGTCTTGCTCGTGCACGTCTCAATCAGCTCTGATGGAGAGCTTGCGGCCCGCAGACCTCGCCGCTTTGCCGCCTCCCGCCAGACGTTCTTCACGCCATCTTCTTCCAAACCATCACCAGCCAGAACTTCATAATCTGCAAGCAGCTGCTCCCGAACACCCTGGAAGCCCTGTACTGCGACGTGGTGATCAGGAAATCGCAGCAACTAGCGTGCTTCGCCAGCTCCCTAAAGATTCGTCCGGCCAACGCCCGATCCGTCCGCTTCTTGACCTTGGGCAAGACGATCCGTTACGACTTTGGGCAAGGGTCGCCAATCAAGTGGCTGTCCGACGATGAGACGCACGGTTCGGGCCAGCTCCCAACATCAATCTCCAAACTTGAATGGGATGGACGGCTTTCTTACCGCCCTGCCTCGATGGTGGTCGGGATAGGCCTCTTGAAGGACCTGCTGCGGATTCTGACGAATGTCAGGACCCTCGATGTCACCAGCGTCCCTCTCCTCGCGTCTCTTTTCGCCGCAGACTACCTCGAGTCCCGCCCGTTCAGCAAACTCCGCAGTCTCTGGCTTCAGGTGGATGTCAATCAGCAGACTAGGGAAGATTGGGACGGAGCCTCTCTGGCTACATTGGCCCGAAACCTTCGCCTCATTCCCTCGCTAGGGCGGGTCGGCCTCTACTACAACGTCGACGCCCTTCCGGTCAACTTCCTCAATCTCGAGCCTTCCTTCGCCATCGCACCGAGGAGCTGGCAGATCGACTACCTCGCCATACGCAGATTCCGTCGTCTCGGGCCCGAAACGGCGGTCCTGTTCTCCTCGCTCGCCCCAACCGTCAAGACGGTCATCATCGACACTATGCTGATGCACAGACGCCTATTCGACGACTTGGCTTGCCTGCCCGCCAGCATCAGCCTTCTTAGCCTCGACCTTGGCTGCGCATGCTCGAAGGAACATCCGACCTCCGACTGGATCTTTCCGGCTCTATCGTCGTCAATTGAGCATCTTGTCAACCTCGAGCACCTTCACCTGACCGGCAACATCGTCTCCGTCGAGACGTACGACGCAATCTCCGGACTTTCGAGCCTCATCTGCGTCTCTTTCGGCGCACACACCGCCCTCTCTCTTCCTCACCTCCTTAAGCTCATCAAGCGCGTCCCGCCGAGCCAGCCGAAGCTCCAGAACCTCTACGTCATGACGTGCGAGTGTCCGTCGCCAGGTCCGGACAAGCAGCGGCCGAACTTCCCTTCCGGCTTCGGGCCTGCAGAAGTCGACACCCTCATCAAGGAGACGCGAAAAGCGCGCGTCAAGCTCTCCGGCACGATCTACTGCACCACCGGCAACTGCACGCACAAACGCGGGAAAGTTTGTCCCTTCCCTCGCAACAAGTCGACTTCGTAGCTTTGGCTGTCTTCATCTTGCGAAACCGCAATGGATCCTTGGAATCTGGTCTGCGTCTGCATGATGGAGCTAGTCACCGCTCCCCCTCGCTGTACCGCTCTCGCTGTCACCGCGTTGCTCGACCTTCTCCGCCTCGACCGCGAACTTCTTCTCCATCTCCTCCCGTCCCTCCCACTTCTTCCCGCCGAGGTTCCGCCACTCCCACTCCCTCAGCGCCGCTTCATCGTACGTCTTGCCCTCGACTGAGTCGTCATCCTTGAGGAAGATCGTACCAGCGAGTTCGGGCGGGAGGAAGGGTTGGTGGACGGGATGGGCGTAACCGGGCTCGTAGCTGCGGTGCATGAGTCAGTGCCGCGAGTCTTGCGCGCAAGAAAGGAGAACGCAGCGCACCGGTAGTCTCGTCCGTACCCAAGCTGCTTCATCAGGCCGGTCGGAGCGTTGCGGATGTGTAGAGGGACGGGATAGTTCTCGCTCTCCTTGACGAGCTTCTTGGCGGCGTTGTAGGCCTTGTACGTTCGGACGCTCTTTGGAGACTCGGCGAGCATGACGACGACCTGGGCAAGGATGCACTGCGAGTGCAACATCAGCACCGGCAGCTCAATGCGAGAAGAAGTAATCTCGCCCACGCACATCACACTCAGGCATGCCAATAAGCTGTGTTGCCTGGTAAGCTGCGACGGCTTGGGGAAGCGCCAAAGGGTTCGCGTTGCCGACGTCCTCGCTCGCCTGCAACGTAGACGGTTTAGCGCAAAGCTGAAAGAGGCTGAGGTCGACGTACCATCCTGATGAGCCTACGAGCTACGTAAAGCGGATCGTCACCGCCTTCGAGCATTCGCGCGAGCCAGTACAGCGCTGCGTTCGCATCGCTTCCTCGAACAGCCTTGTGCAGCGCGCTGATTGTATCATAGTGAGCGTCTGCCACAGAGCGGAATCAGCATGCCGTTGTTGGAGAGTAGGGGGGTCGCGCACCGCCAGTCCGGTCATACTGCAAGTGCGCCTTTCGCAGACTCCGCTTGAGCTCGTCGCGGCTGATCTTCCCGTTCGTGTCTCGTGTTGCTGATAGCGCTAGTTCGAGAGACGAAAGTGCGACTCGAGCGTCTCCGTCGGCAGCGGCGGCGAGGAAGCGGACGAGGGGCGGGTCAACAGGTCCGGTGAAAGCGAAGACGGGATCGACGTCTGGCGGCTCCGTCGTATTCGCCGTTGCCTGTGCCGACTCGTCGTCCACTGATTTGCGTTGATCCATCGTATTCTCCCCCGTTACTCGCCCCTTGTCGCTCTCCCCCTTCCTGCCGTCCGTTTCGACAGCTCTTGCTGCATCGTTCGGCGTCTCGTCTTCCTCATCCTGGCCCCTCACGTCCTCCTCCTTCACCCGCACATCCGCCACCGGAAGCGTCTCGCCGGTTCGCTGCTCGTGCAGAAGTCGTAGAGCGCGCACGAGGATCCGGTAGATGTCGTCTTGCGTGAGCTTCTGCAGGACAAAGACTCGACATCGGGACAGGAGGGCGGTGTTGACGCGGAAAGATGGGTTCTCTGTCGTCGAGGCGATGAGAGAAAGGGTGCCGGCTTCGACGACGGGCAGGAACTGGAGCGCAACTGGTCAGCGCAGGTCGGGCTAGAGAGCCGGGCTCGGGACAAACGGCGTCTTGCTGAGCTTTGTTGAAACGCTGTTGACGAAGAAGGTCAGCCAGACGTAGGCGGAATGGCGAACGAGCCCCGCACCTGGATCTCGTCGATGAAGAGGAGCGTCTTCCGTCCCGTGAGTTTGAGGACGTTCTCGGCTTCCGTGAAGACCTCGCGCAGCTGTGCGGTTGTAGCATTCGTCGCGCTGAGCTCTTTGAAGACGCTCGACGTCGCTTTGGCGATTACGCGAGCAATAGTCGTCTTGCCGGTACCCTGTGCGGCAGTTCGTCAGCTTTCTTCTCAAGGCTACCATCGCTGAACGTACGGGCGGTCCCCAAAAGATACAACTCCCAATCCTGTCCGCCTCGATCAGTCCTCGCAGCATAGCACCCTGGCCAAGCAAGTGCTCCTGGCCGACGAAATCTTCCAGAGTTTGCGGACGAACCAGCTCGGGCAGCAGTTTCGCCGCTTCGAGGAAAGATCTGGTCGACGCTGATATGCGTGGTCGTTTTGTGAGCGAAGCCTGAGCGGTGGAAGCGGATGTCGAGGCGAAGGGGGAGGGAGGAGGTCGAGCGGCGGGAGATGAGGACGTTGCGGGATCTTCCTCTGTGAGAGCCTTCCTCTTCTTCCCACTCGGAGCCTTCTTCCCGCCCGTATTTGACCCCTTTTGACCACCGCCCTCTGTTGAGGGACGTCTCGCTGGCGCAGGGAAAGTCGCAGTGGAGGAGGAGGAGGTCGACGGGACTTGCGAAGAGGTGCAGCCAAAGTCAAGATGGATGTTGACAGTCGACTCTGGGACCAAGCGCTCGCACACTGGGCACTCGACTGCCGAGCGAAGCGAGCAAGAACGGTCGAGGACGAGGTGGGAAGAACGGGTCAGCAGAGGCGTTGCGAGGCGAAGGCGCGCCTTACACGCACCGAGAGTACTCATTGCGGACGATTGAGTAGCAGCAAGCGAGCCACGAAGCGAGCGAGGTGAGCAGTCGAGGACAAACAGGTCAACGGGGCGGTGCTGGCCTGTTTGGGACGACAACAACGGCGAGCGGCTCTCCTGAGCCTCTACGAGTCTCCCCGCATTCGTGCAGGGAACGTGCGAATGCAATACGGACGCAATTCGATAGTGATACAAGCGGGAGAGTCGCCCGCAATCTCGGAAACCGCCTCCTCGTCCCCGTTCTATCGCCCGTCCCCTCCTTCGATCCGTCAAGGGCACCCTCCACAGTATCCTCCACCACCCACTCCGCATCCCCAGCACGTCGCAGGTCCTCCCACTCCCGCACTCTTGAGGACAAGGCCGACAACGCTCGCCAATCCTTCGCCGAGGACAAATCCGCTCGCAACAACGATTAGGCCGAAGTGCTCAAGATGTGAGGCGCCTGAAGAGGCGCCATTGGTCCGTACTTGCGTGCGAGTGTAGTAGAGCGAGATGAGGCCGCCGACGAGTCGAGCGAGGGAAAAGGAGGGAGTGTTGATGAAGCCGACGGCGAAAGCGATTCTGCGAAACGTACTGTCAGGCCGACCAAAACCTGGAGCGATCCAAAGGAGCAGACCAACGCACCCTGACGGGATCCAGCGCGTCGAGCCCCAGATCTTCATCCGGCTCGACTCGCTGACTGCGTCGGATTCGCTCGAATCGAGCTTGACTTTCCCAACCGCCTTCAGCGCAGCGAGGACGACGAAGATAGTGCCGAAGATGAGCATGGCCTCCTTCGAGCGAGGCGGCAGGTTGCCCGTGTTGACCAGGCGAGCGAGGTTGAGCCTGCAGTGAGGTCAAGGGTCAAATCTCGGACCCCGTCACGATGCGGCTCGGCGCGCACCAGATCGCTGCTGCAGGTACCGGAAAGGCGGTGCTCGGCAGTGTGTAAACTCGGCGGTAGAGGCAGTACACCCCGGTGGACACGAAGACGGATGCGAGCGATCCGATGAGCTGCAGCGCCGAGTTGTCAGCAAAGAAGGCGTCGGTAGAGGAATTGAGAGACTCGCCTGTCCGTGAAACTGCGCCCGCGGACTCGAGCCCCACAAGTGACCCGTCTTCAGGTCCTGCATGAGGTCGCCAGCCTGTTGTGCCCCAGCTTCCGCTATACCGCCCGCAACAAGGTTGGCGACGACGTTGCCGGGCTGGACGACGGCGAAGACGAGCTGCGAGATCTTGCCGATGGCGGAGACTGGGTTCAGGTCGGTCGTGCCGAGTGCACGAACGCTGCGAGGAGGCGGTTGCGGTCAGCGAATGGTTGCGAATGAGTCTAACCTTTCAAGTAACAGTCGACGCACCCGAGTACCGCAAACATGGAAGCGAGGAGCAAGGCAATGAGGGTTGCCCACCAACGAATGCCGTCCTCGCCGAAAACGAGCGCAACGATGACGACGCAAGAGACACAGCTGACTGCGGTGCCCGCCAGCACGACACGCATTGACGGCTCGTCGTCTGCTCGTGACGGCTCCTTTCGACCGAGATAGACGCGGTCAACGCTTTCGTCGTCTTGATCCGAGTCGTAGCCATCGGAATCAGCGCGAACAAAGAGGCTGCCATGTCGCGCCTTCTCCGCCGTCCGTTGGAGCCATGGCCGTAGCGAGTCGGCGGCGACAAGCGAGACGCTGAGGATAGACTCGGCAGTCATGACCGCGAGAGCTGGCCAGAGAACCCAGCCTCGCGCTCCGTCGGCTGAGGAAGAGACAGGTCCAGGTGCCCAGCCCATCTTCTTCGACAGTGGCGAGAGGAAAGCCCAGCCGAAGAGCATGCCCTGCGCGATTCCAAATCGATTAGTCGACTTGTTCGAGACGGAGAGAAGGATGTGGACGCACGATGTTCATCGAGAGTACCGTCTCCCAGCCCATGATTATGCCTTGACCGATGTAGCTGAAGCTCGGTGTAAACCTGCACGAGCGACGTCAGCTGAGTCAGGTAGGGAGAGGTGAAAGAACCGCACCACCACAGCCAGTCGTGCGCGGCACGCGTTACGAAGATGTCAAAGACGGGTATCGCGTAGATGAAGGGCAGGGCGAGACTGAGGAGCTGCGAGGGAGATGGTCAGCCTGGAGCAGGGGGATGCAGAGGCTTGAACTTGCCGTGTAGACCGAAGATACCGCAAAGCTCGTCATGAGTGCCGTCCACGCTTTTCGATCGACGACTTGCTCCACTGCAGGCTTCCCGCCCTGTCGACCAAGAAGCTCTTCCTCTAGCTCCTCCGCCGCGAGGTCTTCCATCGATTCAAGGGCTCGTCTCCGCCGTCGCAAACCGCCGTCCCGACCATTTTCGTCCACCGCGCTGATGAGCGGTCGGTTATGCAGTACGCCGATGACCTGCGCAGTTGCGGTACCGGAGGGAAAGACCAGCTTCTCCTTGACGATGACCTGTCTTCGCAGAGGGACGGCAAGGAAGACGCCGAAGAAGGCGACGGCGAATGACCAAGCGAGGAGAGCGGGCCAAGACAGGATGAGAGGATGTGCGCCGCCATCGAGGTCGGGAGAAAGCTGGGCGAGAGCAGGGATGATGCCGACGAAGCCGGCGGCGAGCGGAAGGGTCCCTGTCGCGACTGCTGTCGTCTGCAGGACGATCTGCAGTTTGTGTCCAGATCAGTGAGCTAGTCCTAGCGTCAACAAAGCGGATGAACGCACATTCTCGTGAACGGTCAAGGGTCTCCGGTCGAAGAGCGGGCTCTTCGGCAAGACCTTGAAGACCGCGAACCCAAGAAGGGACGCTTGCAGCGACATCATCGACACCCACCCCGTCTGCAAGCCGAAGTACGTATTTGTGCAGGCGAGCAGGACGCCTATGGCGAGACCGACCGCAACCGCTCGAAGCTGTCGAAGGGGAAGCGTCAGCTAGAGGGCGGGTTCGAGCCGGCTCAGCGTACGTACGGTGAATTCAGGCTCTTCTTCCGTGTAGACCACATCCTCAGCACTTCGACGGCCCGAGATCAACCCATCAAGGGATCCGCGACCTGCCATGTCCCGCCGCGTTTCGCAGGGCGAACGGCGGTGCTCGCGATGGTGCAAGACAGCGTCACGAGCTACTGCGATTACTTGCGCGCCTGTTCACAGCGTGGCAAGTGCGTGAGGTGGGCGAGTTGCGGCTTCCGAGGAGGCGGGGGCGGAGGGCTTGGCGGTGCGCAGGCGTAGGGTAGGCGGTTCGAGGCGGTCGACGACAAGAGCGTGGCGAGATAGAGCCGGCAAGCAAGGCAAAGCGAGAGGGGACGGACGCTGGACAAGGCGAAGAGAGGGAGTCGCTGAGGAAGCAGAGGCGAGGCGTCTGTTCGAGCCCATCGAAGCGGCTCCGCGCTAAGACCGATCTCAAGCATGATTGCGTGTAACGTAAAAGATGCGCGATGTACAAGAGAAGCGATGCAGAAGGAGTCGAATTATCCACACTCGCCTCGCCTCCTCCCTTCGACCTCGAAAACAGCTCTTCCTCCCCGTCTTCAATGACCCGTCCCGCACAAGGCGAGCCAACTCACACGACTCCCTCACGGATCCTCTTCTTCTCGACCTTCCTCTCCAGCTCGATCTCTTCGCCCCTGCCGAACAGCGGACTATCGTAGCCGTACGGATAGCGACGTCCGTAGCCGTGGTCGGGACGGTAGACGTGGCGATCGTGGTGGAAGCCGTGAAGCGGGGTCGGCGGACGTCGATAGTCGAGAAGATGCGGCGACGAGGAGTAGAACGGGTCATGGGAGGGCCTGTACCCGTGATGATGGTGCCCGTGTGGGTACTTGTATCGATGGAAGTGCGGCGAAGGCGGGCGGTGGTGGTGCGGGAGAGGGAGATGGCCGGGAGGCGAGAGAAGGGGGAGAGGGCGAGGGTGCGAGTGCGAGCAGCGGTGTCCGTGATGATGCGAGTGGTGCGACTGTGAAGTCACAGCCGCAGAGCGTAAGTAACTGGAACGAATGAGAGCAGGGGAGTTCCGTACCGAGTGGGTCACGACTGTCGTCGACTCACTCCTCCACCGTATCCCGCCGTCTGCGCAAGTCGACACCTCGTCCTTGCCGGAGATGGCCTGTCCAGACTATCGTCAGCGTGTGCACGCAATTCGAAAGACGTGGAAAAGCACGCACGACCTTGTCGCCATTCCACTCCCTCTTCACCTCGCCCCACTCCTTCTTCGCGGTCTTGCAGGGTCCTCCGCCCCTTCCGTCATCAATCCACTCCCAGTCTCCCGGCCGATTGTGCCTGTAGCGGTCGTCAAAGTCGTCGCGCCTGTCGAGGTAGTACCGATCGCGGTCGCGCAGGGAGAGTGCCATCAAGGCGTCGTCGAGCGGTTCGGACTGCTGAAGGGCTAGACCGGAGTGCGAGCGCGGCGATGAGGCGGACAGAGGAGAGGAGAGTCCGGTGAAGGGGTTGAGTGCGGCGGGAACGTCGAAGGCGGCAGGAGGAAAGCGAGTTTGGGAGGTTGGCGGATGGTGTGCTCGCGGGTAGCCGCCCGGAGGTATTCGGTAACCTGGGAAGACACTCTCCGCGATGGATGAGGTGTAAGAGCGAGGCTGCGGGGCGGGTCTCGACGGTTGCGAGGAGGATGAGCGAGACTGAGGCGGTTCGAAGGGGACGAGGGCGCCGGCTTGTGCCTCCGGAGAAGCTGGTGCGAGGAGTGTGCGGTCGTAGACTTCTCGGCTAGCCGCTGTGTATGAGGAAAGCGTCGGTCGGTGACAGAGAAGGGAGGAAGGGGAGGGGCGCACGGTCGGAAAGCACGACGTAGGCGCGCGCGAGTTCCTGGAAGCGCTTGGTCGCCTCTTCCCGCTGTTCTGACGGTGCTCGATCCGGATGATTGACCCTCGCCTGCCGTTCGAAGAGGTGAAACCAGGGAGATCAGTGGCGAGGAGAAGAAGGAGACGCACAAGGGCGAGATAGGCTGAGCGAACGTCTTCAGTCGAAGCAGACGGGTTGATGCCCAGCAGCGAGTAGTACGAACCGCTCATTGCGAACGCAGCAGCTTGCAGGAGGACAAAGAGGGTGGGACGGCGCGACTTCGAACGTCAGCGTCCGCGGCGTGCGCCGGAGTTCGCAGAACGTGGCGGAATGACCAGCAAGCAGGCGATGCTGGACAGCTGGCAGCAGCGAGTCGATGGAAAGCGCAGCTGAAGCCGCACTTCCACTTACTCATCGAGGGCGAAGAGACGAGACGACGAGCGGGAATGGCGCGCGCGGGAGTCTAGGGAGGCGCTCGGCAAGTGGCTGTTGACGGCTGAGTGTATGAGGAAGGCAGATCGAGATCGTGCGAGAGGCGAGAGAAGCGGGAGGACCGGAGGGAACAGGTCGACGAGGCGAAGGGGACGGATGCAGACAGACGAGAATGCGGCGAAGAGGCGAGCGCCAAGTTGGCATGTCGCCCTCAGAGGGCCAATGTGGTAGTGCTGTACCGAAAGTAACTCGTTAGTCGGCGGGCGCAGCAGCAGGCGTGACCAGACGACGCAAGGGAGACCAGTACAGCGAGCGCGGCCCGATGTGCTCAGCGCAAGGAGCCGTCTCGAGCTGGGAAGCAGCGGCTGTTAGGGAAGGCGCTCGGGTGCGGATGAGCTTGGACTCAGAGACGAAACGTACACAGCCTGTCGCAAATGCGCACCCTCCGTCGTGCGAGGTCTGCCCGTCACAAGCTCGCACAGGTTGGCGGTGCGTGCCTGCGAATCACAAGTCGGGAATCGCGTCGTCATACAGCACCAGCAGACGGAGAAATGGAGGAGGAGTGCAACGAGGAGGAACCGCACTGTTGATCCCGTGAAGTCAACCGCAGACTCTGCTCTTGTTGGCGAGAACGACGTGAGGTGCGGTATCAGCGAGCAGACTCAACATCGTCTGAGTGCACACGCACCCATTGCAGTTTTCCATCCGTTCGCCACGAGTTCAGAGCGTGCAAGTCAGCTTCGAGGATTTGGTGTTCGCTCATGCCACGGCAGCTGGTCCGGCGTCTCCGTACCAAGCTACGTAGAGCTGCTGCTTGATCAAGGTGCAGCAGACTGTGGAGAGGCAGGCGCGGGAGGAACGATGACTTCCGAGCCGTCCAAATCTGGTGCCGGCATCGACGCACTCGGCGGAATGGTCATCTCCAGAGGTAGCGATGGCATGGAGGACGCAGAGAGCGAGTTTGGCGGCGGCTGAGCGAGCGGAAAGCTAAGCGAAAGCAGGTAAGCGCGAGACGGGACGACTGGCTGAAATCGTGCGCGACGTTACAGGTTCCTTCCCTGCTCCTCATCCCTTCACAAACTGCCCTGCCGCTTTCCGTGTATAGAATGCGTCCGTTCTGCGAGCGAGTAAAGCGTCAGCGATTTCAAGCAGAAGAACGCGGACGAAGAGCTAAACGCACCGTGATGTGCCGATGTTAACGATTTTGGGACAGCCATCTCGGCTCTTTTCCAGCCGTACGCATTCCTGCATAATCGAGCAAGACGAGTCAACATGGAATCGCGAATGATACGAGAAGGAACAGCGGAAAGTCGAGAACTCACCGCACAGTAGTAGGCATCGGAGATTCCTGTGCCGCGCGATTGACTCCGTCAGTACTCTGCCACACTCTACACGAGCGCGTAGTATCGGAGAAACCGTTACGCACCGTTTCCGCCGCACACAATGCACCGTCCGCCGTACGTTCCGAAGTTGCACTCGTCGCAGATCCGCACAATCTCTGCCGGTCGCACGTACGAATCGCAAATGGGGCTGTACACATAGCCAAAAGCATGAGCACGCGAATGGCGCAGGTAAATCAGGCGAAAACTCACCATTTTCCGTCGCACTTCTCGCAGGTCCGGCCGATGGCTGCGAAGAGATTCGTCAGTTCCGTACGCGCTGCGCTAGCACAGGAGGATGCACGCACCGATGCCAGGCTGCTTCCTGCAAGCGATGAGGTCCGTGTTGTGCTTACTCATGGCTTAGACAAGGGCGAAGAGACGAGACGACGAGCGGGATTGGCGAGTCTAGGGGGGCGCTTGGCAGGTGGCTGTCCGCACTTGAGTGCTCGAGGAGAGGCGAATCAAGGCTGTGCGAGAGGCGAGAGAAGCGGGAGGACCGGAGGGAAGAGGTCGAGGCGAAGGAGACGGACGCAGGGGAGAACGAGGCGAGGCGGCGGGTGTTGTCAAGAACGCAAGACGTCGATTCCGATGTAGGCAGCGTTGAATGTCGAGGCGGGCGGGTGAGGTGAGCGAAGAAGGGAGGGCGGAGGCAGAGGAAGGAGAGGAGGGGCAAGGCGGCGGTGGGAGACGGTGGAGATTGTCAGCGACGCCTCGTTGATGCTGATGCTAAGAGGACTGCAACGCACTTTTCGGAACGCTGCGCGAGGTCCTGCTCTGCTAAATGAGCCGAGTAGATGAGGCTGAGTGATGAGGAGGAGGGAAGAAAGACCCCAGTGGCGCGAGTTCTGGCTGGCTCAGGCGGTGTCGAGCGGTGTTCCTGCAGCTAGTTATGCTCGCTGGCAAGCCCTAGCGAGATGTGCGAGCGTGTGGTGCGGAGTCAAGGTGGAGCGATGGTGCGATCCGCTCTTCGACCCTGACCATTGCGCTCACACAGCTGGACTGGACTCGTGGTGCACTCAGTGACTCTCACAGACACTCTAGCTTTGCACCAGCGCGACTCCCGCACACAATGGCCTCGTCGACGGGGTACACGACCCCCGCCTCGCCTTCATCTTCCGAAGCAGCCCATTCGCTCACGTCGTCTCTCCTGCGAGGTGACTTGCGCCTAGTAGCATTCGATTCCGTCTCGCTAGTGGCTGACAGTCCCGCTGTCCCGCTACACAGCGCGCCCGTACCGCTTCGCAACCCAGGTCGCAACAGTCGACAACCCCGACCCTTCGCACAAGGACCAGTATGGCGCTTCGAGTGTGCCTATCTACCAGACGGCGACGTTCAAGGGCATGGGTGGCGCTTACGACTACACAAGGTCGGGGAACCCGACGAGGAGTCACTTGGGTGGGTTGCCGTCTCTTACCTCCGCAGGCGGGCCGGGGGGTCCTTGCGCTTGAGACGAGCGTTGCGACGAGCGAAGCACTGCTATGTCGCTGTTTGTGGCAGAGAGACGGGGTGAACAGAGGACTGCCGTGCTGACGCTCTCGCACGCCCTCCCGCGGCAACTCGCTCGCAGAACACCACATCGCCAAGATCTCAAATGCCCGCCACGCCTTCGCCGTTACGTCCGGCATGGGCGCACTGGACGTCATCTTCCGCCTGCTGAAGCCTGGAGACGAGATCATTGCCGGCAACGACTTGTACGGCGGTTCGAACCGCCTTATCGGGTACCTCAAGGCGCACGGTGGCGTCACGACTCACCACGTCGACACGACCAATCCCAAGTCGCTGTTGCCTTACCTCGAGGACCCCTCGCACAACGTCGCCATGGTCTTGCTTGAGTCGCCGACGAACCCGCTCCTCCAGATTGCCGACCTCGAAGAGATCGCCCGCCTGACGAAGCGGTACAGGAAGGACGCCATCATCGTCGTCGACAATACGATGATGAGCCCGTACCTCTGCCGTCCGCTCGAGCTCGGCTGCGACGTCGTCTACGACTCCGGAACGAAGTACCTCTCGGGGCACCACGACCTCATGGCCGGCGTCATCTGCTGCGACCGTGACGACGTTGCCAAGGTGCGCACGGTGACGTCTTCCTCCCGCAAACCTCGCTGACCTTCCTCGCGGGCAGGGCATCGCCTTCACCATCAACTCGATCGGAAACGGTCTCTCGCCGTTCGACTCGTTCCTCCTTCTCCGCGGTGTCAAGACCCTGTCCCTCCGCATCGACAAGCAGCAAGCCAACTCGATCCTCATCGCCGAGTACCTCGCCAACCTCGGCTTCAAGGTCAACTACCCGGGCCTCAAGGGCCATAAGGGCAAGGAGGTGCACGACCGGATTGCCAAGGGTCCTGGCGCCGTCTTGAGCTTCGAGACTGGCGATGTCGCGCTCAGTGAGAGAATCGTCGGCAGCACGAGGCTGTGGGGAATCAGCGTTTCCTTCGGCTGCATCAACAGTCTGATCTCGATGCCTTGCCTCATGTCGTGCGTCGACACTCTCTTGCATCACCCTAGTTGCGATGCTAACCGTCCCGTACGCACAGTCACGCCTCGATCGACCCGGCTGTCCGTGCCGCTCGCAACCTTCCCGAGGACCTCATCCGTCTCTGCGTGGGTATCGAGGACCCGGCGGACTTGATCGACGACCTCGAGGCCGCGCTGCTCGAAGCTGGAGCGGTTCGCGTCGTCGACGAGGGAATGGGCGGACGGGCGAGGCTTGAACGAATTGTCCAGGATGGCGAGGGACGGGTGGTTGAGTTGGCGAACGGGACGCTGCAGGGTGAGGAGGCGCATGGCGCTGCGCAGGCAAAGCTTCAGAAGATCATCACGAGCGCACCGGGCAAGGTCATCCTGTTTGGCGAGCACGCGGTCGTTCACGGCGTGGTGCGTACCGTTCGACTGCTGCTCTTTGCCGAGCTGATCTCTCGACCCGCAGACCGCCATCGCCGGCGCCATCGACCTGCGATGCTACTGTCTCGCCGAGTCGCGATCAGACGGCCAGCTCTCGCTCGTCCTTCCGGACCTCGGCTACTCGCAGACGTGGGACATCGCCTCTCTCCCCTGGGACAAGGTCGGCGCTCTCTCGTCCACCGTCCTCAAGTCTGGCCCGAAGTCGGACGCCATCCCCGACCAGGAGCTCCTCACTCTCCTCGCAAACCAGTTCGTCCACCAGGACAAGCTCAAGGCTGTCCAGGCTGCGCAGGCATTCCTCTACCTCTACCTCCACCTCGCCGTCTCTTCCGGCATCAAGCCCGCCCAGACGTACACCGTTCGCTCGGGCCTGCCCATCTCGGCCGGTCTCGGCTCGTCGGCCGCCTACTCCGTCGCCGTCGCCTCTTCTCTCCTCTACTCGCATGGCATCCTCCCTGCTCCCGCCTCCTCCCCTTCCGCCGACTCGACTATCCCCCTCGAGCACGCCAACATGGTTAACTCGTGGGCCTTCCTCGCCGAAAAGGTCATTCACGGCACGCCCTCCGGCGTTGACAACACGGTCGCAACGCTCGGCGGTGCGATCGCGTTCCGGCGGGCGGTCAAGGGCCGCGAGGGGAGTATGGACGTCCTCAAGGGCTTTGACAAGGTCGAGTTCCTGCTCACCGACACCAAGGTCCCGAGGGACACGAAGACGCTTGTTGCGGGAGTTGCGCGGCGGAAGCTCGAGGTGCGTTCTCTGCGAGTCAAGTCCTCGCGCTTCTGCTGACTCTCGCGCATCTGCAGGAACCCGACACGATCAACCCGCTCCTCACCTCGATCCAGCGCATTTCGGACGAAGCGCAGGCATGCCTCTCCTCGACCACCCTGTCCCGCTCTGAGCAGCTCGACACGCTCTCTCGCCTCGTCGAGCAGAATCATCAGCACCTCGTTTCGCTCGGCGTTGGTCACGTCGCACTCGAGTCTGTCCGGAGTAAGACGAAGGAGCAGCCTTGGGGACTTGCGACGAAGTTGACTGGCGCGGGCGGTGGCGGATGTGCCGTGACAGTCGTTCCTGACGGTGAATCGCCTTGCAGCACGTCCCATCGATTCTGCGCTAACGTTGCGACTCGCAGGCTTCCCGGAGGACAAGCTCACGGCGTTGCGAGCGGCTCTCGCCAATTCGGGCTTCGAGACCTACGCGACTTCGGTCGGCGGCCGCGGCTTCGGCGTCCTCATTCCCGCACACGCCAGCCAGCTCGAGACGGCTGAGGGCGGCGTCGAGCTGAGTGCCAGCCCGCAGCAAAAGCGCTTCGAGGAGGCGCAGACGGAGGAGCTCGGTCGGTGGGCGGAGGAGGCGGGCGTCTGGGTGTGTGCATAGGCTATCGACTGCAATCTTACATTGTTTACGAGCGCATTACGACTGTCTGAGAGGAGAGCCGCTTCGTCCCTCATCATTACGAAGTCCAGCGATGAGCGTGTTGGCCTTTTCCTCTGCCCCACCGCTCGTCCTTCGTGCTACACACACTTGCTGCCTCTGCTACGACCGCCTGACTGCTGCTTTAACTTCCCCATCGTGCCCTCGACTCGGCAGCTCTCTCTCTCGACCTCCCATCACACCGTCGCCCCACTTCGTCCGTCTCGCGTCGACATGTCGCCGCTGGAGGTTACGCAGGCTGCGAACGGGAGTGGAGGAGACGACACGACGGCGGGACCGAGGACCAGCGTCCCCCGACCGCCGAGCCGGAGGAGCGTTGCCTCGAGCGACGGAACGTCGGCGCATCCTCTCCTCGCCCTATCGGCTGATGACGGAGCTGCGTCCCCTTCGAGCGGGTCGTACGCCGTCTACAGTCCAGGCAAGAAGCGGGCGGCAGTCTCAGGAGGTAGTGGGTTCTCCTCGTCCTCGGTCACTCCCTTGCCTCTCTCGCCAAACGAAGGGCCCCTTTCTCCTTCTTCTGCCTCGAATGCGACAACTACCCCTCCATTCGTCCCGACGACCGCCCCCTTCCTCCCGCCACTGGTATCTCGGCCGTCAAACTCGACATTGCCTTCGCCTTCCGGCAGACAGTACGCGCGATCCGTCTCGGAGGCCAAGGAGAAGCTTCAGAAGCAGGCGCTCAAGGCGGAACTACAGGGATTGGGACTGTCGGCAGAGTCAGCGGGATCGGCTCTCGTAAACAGGCTGGCGACACTCGGCGAAGATGCGGATTTCAAGGGATTGCAGGCGGTTCTCGCGGGCGGAAAGGTGCGGAGTGTTCGGTCTACCGTTGAGAGGCTTGCTGACCTTTTCTCTCCAGATCACACTGCTCCTACCGGCTGAGAAGCTCGACTCGCCATCACAGCTCACGCCTTCCTTCGTCCTCGATCACCTCGTCCTCCTCGATCCTCCAGCTTCAGGATCCTCCGCTGCCATCGAGCGGCCCTTCGTCACGTTGAGCGGCGTCCGAGGCGTTATCGTCGGCGGCGAGCTGGTGTTCACGAGCTGTGCGGCCGAAACGCTGCGGCAGGATCTGGCGGACTATGCGAGTGAGGACCTTCAGCGGTACGTCGCATTATGTGAGTGATGAGGAATTGGATGCTAATGCGTCCCTACACAGACAACTGCGAGGAGTCGCACCTCTGACAGCTCCTCCCACGACGGCTTCCTACCCGTCAACCATGCTCATCTCGGCCATTACGACTCTCTCCATTCCCCAAGCCCGCTCTGCAACTCTCCCAACCGCGACATCGTCCCGAGCAACTAGCCGCCTCGCCGCCCTCTTCAGCAAGCCAGCCGTGGCAGAGACAGGCGCCCCCGACCTCCCGCCCGTCGTCCCTGCTCCTGCCGGACTGCTCGGCGATGCTTCTGCACAGGCGAACGACGCCGCAGCGAGTGCATCGTCGTCAAGCGTCGACGTTGCGGTTCTCGCCGTCGGCAAAGTTGTTCGTCGGCAGGAGGTGCTTACATCCCTTCGCAGCGCAACCTCTGCGCACATGAGGATGCTCGTTCGGGGTGTTGGGGGAGCGCAAGGTGAGGCAGATATCGGGGTGACGTTATCGTCATTCGCCGAGCGCTTCTGCCCGTCCCCGGCTCCGCCTGAAGCCTCGACGAGCGGGAAGGCTACGACGCCTTCGGTTTCTACGAGCGCGACAAGTCTGCTGGACGCCGATCCCCTCGCCGTCGCCGACACCTACCAAGAGACGATGCACGCCGTCAGGCTCGACTTGACCCGCAACATCGGCTCGACACCGTCCGCCCCTTCAGACATTGACTCGTCAACCGCGCCCTCGCTCGAAGACTTCAGCCAACTTGAAGAACGGGTCGACGCCTCCCTCGAGAAGGTGGAAGAGGTCGTCACCTCTATTCTTTACGACCGCCTCTTCGCCCCGCCATCCGCGCGAGACTTGCAGGAGGACGAGAACCTCGCTTCGCGGATAGCGGCGCTCAACGTCCTCGAACTGGATCTCGAGCATCTTGGCCTGGAACTTGGAGACGAGGAGGGTCTCCCTGGATGGGAAGGACGGAGCTCGGGTGCCCGCGATAGCCTCGAAGATCTCGCGGCGCTCGTGGGAAAGGGTGCGTACGCCGCCCCTCCGTTGTCGCGTCCCGCTGACCATTGTTCGCACTTGCAGAGCTGAACCGCCTCGAAGACCCGGAGAAGCGGACGCCGAACGCCAAGCTTGCCATCCTCGTCGAGTGCCACAAGATTCTCGTCGATGGGTTGAGCAAGCTTCCGCCGATCCCGCTCAAGAAGGAGGTCACGGGCGACGACAAAAGCTCGTTGTCAGACGTGCCTGCCGAGGTCGAGATGGACGACGCCTCATCCCGCTCGAGCTCCTTGCCTCCGTCTCGCCCAATGTCGCCGCCTTCCGCCACAGGGTCGTCATCGGCGGAAGACGCGGACGACGAGCTGCTTAAGACGCCGAAACCTCCGCCTGCGGCAGATCACGACGTCCCCGAAATCAAGCTGCCGGACCCGAGCAAGGCGTCCCACGAGCTGTCCTCGTCGGTTTACGAAGCGACATCCTCCTCCCTCTTCGATCCCACTCCCGCGCCTTCTCCGCCAGTCTCGATCTTCGAGACCAAGCGACGACCAGCTTCGGTCTCCTCGTCCTCGGCCACGTCCAGCGCAGACCTCATCCTCCCCATCCTGATCTATTCGGTCGTCCGCGCCAACCCGCCTCACCTCGTCTCGCACCTCCGCTTCATCCGCCGCTTCCGCTCCGAGTCGCTCTTCCGCGGTCAGGCGAGCTACTGCGCCACCAACTTTGACGCCGTCGTCGAGTGGTCCCAGCACGTCGACCTGTCGACACTCGGTCTTTCCTCTGCGAAAGTCTTTGCGGCAGCGCGTTCCCCTTCGCTCTCCTCCTCGCCCAGCCAGTCACGAACTCGAGCTCAGGCGACCCCTTCATCGATATTGCGCGCGCGAGTCTCGACTACAGCCGACCAGCTCGTCGACTCGGCCAACTCTGCGCTCTCCGGCGTCGTCGATTCGTCGTACCGCATCCTCTTTGGTCCGAAGGGATTGACATCCTCTGCGCCGAAGTCGCTCGACGATGTCAAGTCGGTCTTGGACGGCGCGAGAGGCAAAGCGAGGGGGACCTTGCCGTTCAGGCGGAGCAGCTCGGCGCGGGATTTCCCGACACTGCTTGTTGGGCGGAGACGAGGTGGATCAGTCGCGAGCGGGAAGGCGGTGACGATTGCAGGAGACGGAGATGAGAAAGGGCTTGCTTCGACGAGCGAGGAGGAGGTCGGAGTGGGGAAGAGCGAGGAGATGGTCGACATCGTCCCTTCCTCGCCTTCCGGCACACCTGCTCCGCGCATCTCGACCGAGGAGACCTACGCCCCACCACCTCCGCCACTTCCTCCTCGCTCCTCGTCGTTCGCCTCGACCACCGCCTCGAAGGAGAAAGACGACTTGGACACCCGCTCAGTTCGCAGCGTCTCATCCTTCCTCAACTTCCGCGAGTCGACGCTTGGCAGGGCATTGGGCGAAGTGCGTGACGGCGTTGTCGGTGCTGCTGTCGGCGCAGCGAGCGGCGACGAGCGAGGCGGTTCACCACCGCAACCTTCGCTTGGTGGACGGCTGCTCAACCGTTTCTCTGGCGGTGGAGGTGCGGCATCTACCTCAGCGATCCCGGCTCCAACCACCTCGCCCTCGTCTTCTCGGCGCTCGACACTCCTCAACCCCCTCGGCGGAGTGCACCTGTCTCCTTGGGGTGCCGCCGCCCCGTCCAGCTCCACCACCGCCGCCGGCAACGCACACAGCAGCACGCCTCTCTCGCCCGTCCCCGCCTCGCCGCTCAACTCGGTGATCCTCTACCCTCGTCCCGTCTATCAGCCAGTCCAGCGGTTCTTGGATGTCAAGGATGCGGGGGAATTGAGGATTGGAGAGGTGCAGGAGTTGTTGGAGGAGTACAGGAGGCTGGTGAGGGTCTTGCAGGAGGCGGCGTCAACGGAGGGGAAGGAGACGAAGGAGGAAGATGAGGGGAAGCAGACGGAGGAGAAGGCGGTTCAGGCGGACACAAGCGTCGCTGCGAGCGGTGGCGAGGAGGCGTAGTGGCAACAATCGTACGCAACAGCAGTGCAGCGACATCGACAAGCTCGAAGCTGACGTCTGGAGCGAGAGAGGAGGAGGAATAGCGGTGATCGGAATGAAGGTCGGACTGTTTCGTCTCGCGACACTCGATAGCCAGGTCCGCGTCTCTCGTGCAGCGCTGCACTGTTGACCAGCTCCAGGAAGCTTGTGAAGCAGCGCGCGTAAACTTAGCGGTAGAAAGGGCGCAGCCGGACGAGCGAACCGCACGAGGTTGACCGTCTGAGCACGACCTGAAGGCCTACAAACGTTGCAATCGAGCCACCGAATGCTTAGTTGGCGTCCACCATATACGTGGTGCCGCAGCGGCCGCAGCTGGGAGAAAAGGGTCAGCGAGGGAGCCAGGGAAGAAGGGAAGTCTGGTCGACTCACTACTGCCTGTCCTTGTGGGCGGCCATGAAGACGCCGGCGCCGCAGGTGTCCGAGGGGCACTCGCGACGGAGACGCTTGATCTTGCCGTCCGAGTCGACGCGGTACTCGAGGATGGAGGCTGTGACTGCCGAGCCTTCTCAGCCTGCCAAATCCAGAGGGATGCTATCTCTTGCACGTTGGCCCGCGGTATGTGTGTCGCTCTCCTACTCTGCCGCTTTCCGAAGAGCCTGTCCGCGCATCGCCCGGCTCCTTCGTCGTCGAGACTAGCTCGTCGCAACTCCCTGAGCTTCTGTTCGTCCTCCTTGTGGTTTGTGTGCTGTTGGAGGATCCAACAGCATTTCTTCTCCCGCGAAACTGTACGGAGATGCGGCGATGCGGCTGGATGCACATTCAAGCATAGGTAGATGGCGAAAGCGAGCGAGCCACAGCCGAAGTTGCGGCAGCAAGAAGGGCAGCTTGTGCCCAGTTGACTTTGGCAAACTAGTGAGACGCTGCAGAGGAAGCGGCGGGTGCGAGAGGGCACTGAGAGAGAAAGAAGGGCAGTTTGGGACACCGCTTTCCCAGAAGGGGGCAAACTGCTTGGATATGCAAAGGCCGAACCGGCTCGCATACAAGGGTCTGATGGTCTAGAGGTATGATTCTCTCTTAGGGTTATTCGCCTTAAATGGGAGAGGTCCCGGGTTCAATCCCCGGTCAGACCCGTTACCTTTTGCCGTATTCACCCTTTTGCTGCTCGCCTGCTCACCAAGCTAGTGTCAAGCTGCCGCCTCGCTGGCCCTTATGGCGTCGTACAGAGGCAGAGCATACACGAGCCAACGCAGCCCTGGAACCTGTGGCGCCGTCGTTCCTGCCGAGCGAGGGCGAGGCGAAAAAGAGAGGGGATGTCCTGGCTAGAAACGATGTCCAAAAAGTACTGGGCCTAACCGGGGATTGAACCCGGGACCTCTCCCAATAAAGCGTCTTGCGACGACCCTAAGAGAGAATCATACCTCTAGACCATCAGGCCAAGTTGGGAGCACGAGTCGAGTTTTGCGTTTATATTAGCGTCCGTGTTTGTGTCCCAACATGCGCCGCTCAGCTCGCAACCCTGCAGTGGCGTACACAGAACCGCCAGTACGCGATACCGCGTCATCACAAGCACCATACTAGAGGACTATTGGCAGCACTGCGCCGTCCACGGCTCCCTTCTCAAATCCCCCCTCGTATGGCGGGGACGCAACTGGCTGGCAGCGGAGAGCCAAGCAAAGCAGCAAACACAGCCAGAAGACCGAGACAGGCAGCCAGACTAGACTAGCCAACAGCCTCGAAAGGTCAGAGTAGAGCGAACGTGCTTCACCCAGACTATCTATTCGCCTGCTCTACATGCCGTGCACGCTCCATCAGCGGCGTCTCACTTGGCCGAGGATCCGCCTCGTCCTGATGCGAGCGAGGGAAGAACAGGCTGCCGCGCTCGTCGTCCCGATCTCCCTGGATGTGTCGGTGCAAATCCTGCAGGAGCACCCGATCAGCCTACATCGTGGGATGGGTGCTCAGAGGGGTTCACCATCTTTGTGAGCAAACCCGCAAGCATGCCGCGCCTTGTGAGAAGGACGAAGCGCAAGCCCAGCCGCTGAAACATCTGCACGACGACCTCCATTGGCGTGTCCTGGCTGAGGTTGACGGGTATCTGTACGAGGTTGAGCAATTAATGCTAGAAAATCCGGACGAAGGATGAGGCGGGACCCACCTCGTCCATCCAGGGCACCAAGCTGATCCACGGCTCTCCCGAAGCTCCGCCTGACGTCGGACCGTCTCGCTCCTCAGCCGCAGGGGTGCTTCTCCGGCGTGAAGCCTCGAGGTCGAGTTCGAAGGTGGCGGTCGTTGACGCTCGTGCAGGGTCGAGGGGTATCGGGATCTGCTCGCCGCGGGCTCGTCGTCCTCGGCGGTCCGGAGCGCTGAAGTAGCACAACGTTGTTGACGATACTGCGGTAACTCGCCGAGCGTGATCTGCAACGGCAAAGGTCAAGTCGTGCAACGAAGATCAGGAGAAAGCGAGCGCACCTATGGCGTCCTGCAAGTCCGCTTGACTGATGTAACCGATAACCAGGCGATCGCGCTCCGTCCGGACCACAGGAAAGCCCCGGTACTCGGATTCATCCAGCAACGCCTCTGCAATAGGAGAGTGTCAATCCTGCGGATCTCATCAAAGCAGGCGTGCGGTGTTCACCAAGTCGCGAAAGGGTCCAGCCCTCATCGCTGATGCAGGCGAGCTCATTCGAAGGCGTCATGACGTGCCGAGCGAGGACCGTGTCACGGCGGTAGTCGGCTTTATTGTTCAGGAAGGGGTAGTTGCGGAGGTTGATCCACGCTGCAGGCGAACAGGGTGAGCGGGCGGCGCAATCGGATGGGCAACGAAGACAGCGTACTCTCGTAGATGCCCTCCTTCGAGATGTAGTCGCCCGTGAACTTGGCGACCATGACTGGCGGGAACAGTGGTAGGTCAGCCAGTTCGTCCAAATTAGCCAGTCCGCTTGCACGCACCCGCCATCATGAGCTGTAAGACAATGTCGATGGCTCCCGTCAACTCAAACAGGATGACGACCTGCGAGGAATGGCGGAATGAGCGCGACGTCGAGACAATGGGTAGAAGCGACGCACGAGACTGATCGTCATCCTCGTCACGCCGCCCAGTGCGCTCGCCGCGCCAATGACGGCGTACACGCTCGGGTTGATGCACCCGCCGTCGGCCGGACAGTCGGCGAAGATCCAGCTCTCAGCGTTGGCCTTCTGGATCTGGTGCATGACGAGGCCAACAGCGCGACCGGCGCAAGCTCCGATCGTAAGCGAGGGAAGGAAGATGCCGGCTGGTATGGACGCGCCGAAGGTGACGGCCGTAAGTAGGGTCTTAGCGAAGGCGGTGAGGAGGAGGAGGAAGACGATGGACGAAGTGTTGGAAACGCTGCAGGTCCGCCGACGTCAGCCTTGATATCGCCATAAGAACGGCGCAAACTCACTCGCAAAGGCCGTACGGGTCGACACCGCCGCAGTCCTGGAAGAGATTGACGACGAGCTCGGCCGACGGGATGCGCATGTAGATGACGAGGTAGGAGACGACCGACGTGAAGAGCGCGAGGACGCTGACCTCCGTGATTGGCCATTGACGCATGCCCGACGCTCTTCGCAGCCGCTCCCATTCCTCGTTCAGGCGAATGAACCACGCCCCCCAGACACCGCCTGCGGTGCCGAGCAAGAGCCAGGGGACGAGCTCGAAGCCTCGCCATACCTGCGAGGCGTGAACGGTGAACAGCGCGAGTTTGCCGGTGTTGAATGGGTCGATGTACTGAAGCGTGACGGCGGCGACGATGGCGCAGACGAAAGATTGCCAGAGGGTGGAGCCGGGGAAGAAGGTCGATATCTCCTCTGCAGCGACGAAGTCAGCTAAGAGCCTGAAAGGAAGTCAAGGCGGGACGTACCGAGCGAGAACAAGACTCCGCCAAGGGGCGCGCCGAAAGCAACCGAGACTCCGGCAGCGGCGGCCGCAGAAAGAATCTCACGATTGCGAGCTGTCGGCGCGCACATCAATTTTCATCTGCATTAAGTGAGCACGGGTGACTCACCTCCGCTGTTGCGCAGCGAGGCGAACGGCCGCAACATCGCATCGCCGATGCAGCAAGCGACGTGGACGAGCGGTCCTTCCTTGCCGAGGCTGAGGCCGCTTGCGACGGCGAGAGGCAGGCCGAGTGACTTGATGAGCAGCGTGACGGGCGAAAGGAACCCGTCCATGATGTAGCCGCCGAGGAGGACTTTGATCTCGGGGATGCCGGTGTGGAAGGCGAAGGGGGCGAACACGTTGACGAAAGCCGACGAGACGAGGGCGAAGGCGACCTGCAAGGCAAATATCGCGTGAGCGTCCGTGGCGGGCGTGAGGGGGCGCAACGACGTACGGCGAAAGCCATGTAGACGCTATACTGCGTCAAGGCGCGCAGAACGACGTGCTTCTCGTCGCCGACGATCTCACCCCATGTCCGCCATGCACGGCACGTCTCTTGCGCTGCACGACAGCCCGCTTGTCGGTACGTAGGCTTCTTTGTGACCAGGACAGGGCCAACGCACGATCTAGCCCTGCACAACACAACCCTCGGCTCATCCACCACATGTCTCTGCACGCGCCTAGCCGCAAATCGCTGAGCCAGGCACTCAGTATGTCGAGGCAACTCGCGATGACCCCCGTCGCCATTCCCGTCAACACGACTACGACCCATGGCTTGCTCGCGTCCCACAGCCGGACAATGACGCCCCGCAGACCGGGTGTCGCCAGGATGAGTGACTTGCGCAGGCGTTCTCGTGCGTATTCTTGCGTCCAGTCGATGGAACTGCCGCCCGAGACGGTCGCAGATGCAGGTGGGAGAGGGGTCGTCGATCTCGGAAAGACATCGTTCGCATTGGGAGACGAGAAGATGTGTTTCGGAAAGCTAGGGAAGCCGTTTGCGCTGTTGACAAGCGGGCAGAGGACGAGATGAGCAGGCAGAGAGAGGAAGGGCGACGTGAAAGACGCACCCGTTGGCCCGGCCATTCCATCCCGCTTGACCGTCCAACTTGTGCGTGCTCGTTGACGCCTCGTAAGACTCCGGCATCCGCCTCGCAGACGTTGAAGGTCTTGGAGAGCGGAACGAGCGGGAGTTTCGGTCGACTGGGTGGGGTGCGGTGAGGAAGATGAGGAGAAGCGTCTGGAGCGTCTGTCAGGCTGAGCAGCAAGCTGAGAGCACCTAGGGATGAGCAACGAGTCTTCCGCCGCGAATGAGCGTGATGAGTAGAGGCGAACCCCGTCGACGAGGAGGGGTTCGACCTTGACCGCTCCCTCACCCGCTCTCGAGGGCGCATAGCTACGTTTCGAGACGCTGGACCTCTCCACCAACGGCTCCAGTATCCTACACTCGCGCGACTAGCTCTTCCAGCGGCTTTGCGCAGTCCCGCCGCTTCATCGCTCTCGTCGACCTCGGACAGGGAAATACCGGCGGCAACGCAGCGGGACGTGTGTGAAAGGGCTTTGCAGGAAACCGAGGAAATTTCGACACCATGGCGACTCGATTACGCGCCTCGCCGGTGCTCAATTCGTTCTGCGGGATGGACCTCAAGCTCGGCAAGTCCTTCCGCCCGTCCTCGAGCTGACCTGACGCATCTGCTAACCCGTTTGGTTGTCCAGGCGCCACGTTGATCACCCTCTTTGGCGTTCTGAACAAGGTGGCGGGCGCCTACGGCATGTTGGCCGTCCTGCTGAGCGGAGGTGCGGCCCTCAGCCAGCCTCTCGAGCAGTTGACGATGTACGCGTACTCCATCGCGAGTCTCGCAGCGTTCATCTGGGGCATGCAGAAGATTAGCGAGGTGCGCAACTGTCACCGGACCTCTCGCTCAGCTCGCACGGCTCTAACGACGCTTCGCTCGCAGGAGAACGGAACCAAGACCCTCCTCTACGCCCACATGTACGCCGCCGACCATATTCTCGGCACGATCTACACCGCCTTCTTCGCCGTCGTGTGGTACGTCTACGTCCCGCACGACGGTCGTCGAATCGCCAACTCGGATGCGCAGAAGGCGATGATGGGCGGCTCGCAGAGCGGAGTCGGGATGGATGAGGCGGCACGGACGGCAGCGGCGATGACGGTCTGGAAGAGCGAGCGAGGGTTCAGCGCCGCGGTATTGGTGATTGGTTGGCTGCTCAAGGTGCGTTGCTTTCGTGTAAGTTTCAAGCTATTCCCTGCGCCGACGGTTCTTGGTCGTTACAGGTCTACTTCATTCTCGTCCTCTACTCCTTCGCCCTCCACCTCCGCCGCGGCACCTACGCCTCGCTGCCCAAGTCCTCACACAACACCATTCCCTCGTCTAAATTCGTCTCCGAGCCCTCTCCCTACCGCCCTCGCTCGCGCTATCAGCCCAATCACACGCGCAACTCTTCGACGGGGGGCCCGCAGTACACCCACTTGCGCGGTAATTCGCTTGCCTCGACAGCGGGAATGGGCGGAAGAGGGAGTATGGACGGCTTGGACGGGACAGAGACGACGCTTGCCGAGACGCTGTGGGAGGAGACAGACACGATGTTGGCGGAGGAGGAGAAGCGGTTGCAGAGTTCGGCGCAGCAGCACGGGCGGAGACCCTCGCGGGTTGCCCCGCCGCCGCCTCTGTCTGCTGCCTCGCGGTCATCAGCTGCGACGGGCGGTGCCGCGGGTGATGCCGTGCCGCCTTCTCCGGCATTTGCGAAGGGCACAGGCATCCAGCGAACAAGCAGCGGTGGAGTCCTCGTCAGCGGTGGAGCGACGCCAGGTGCGGGCGGAGCAGCGGAAGCGGCAGGAACGGAGAGTTCGGCAAACCCGTTCGCGCAGATCCTGGGGCGGATGAGCGGCGAGACGCCGCGGTAGATACTCTCGGAGGTAGTGGGACTGCACCTCTAATCGAGCGGGAGGTCTGGGCGGCATAGATGGTTTGCAGCAAGGGTCTGTACGCATGTCATACGAATCGTTCTCGCATCGCATTCTCGCACACAGGGCCCATTGAGAAGCTGTTGTGTTCGATGTCAGTCCCTCATACGGCCCGCCAAGAACCGCCTGACCACGACTTCGCGCATGTCCAACTTTGCCAGCGCCTGCGCGGGGTTGTTGGCGACCCAATTCGGCTCCGAGGGTAGCGACGAGAGAGGTGGGATCACAACGTGCAGCAAGACGAGCGTCTGCAAGCGCATGATCGTGAGTGTCGCTGCGTTCACGCACGAACAGCGAAACGCACCTTCTTGACACCGCTGCACACTCGATTGATCGTATGGAACCATCTCCAGCTGTTCTTCCGCTCGCCCTCGCCGCGTCGGTGCTCTTCGTCTCTTGCGTCCGGATCTTGGTCGACTGCGAAAGTCGAGGTTGAGCGGAAGGGGTTCGAGGCAGAGTCTGCGGGAGTGACGTAGGTCGGCACGATCACGACTGCGAATCTGCGCGCAATGGAATGTCAGTCTTGAAGGCCAGACAGGCGACCGCAGCAAATCTGCTCACTCTGCGTGCCCACCGACAGGTCCTCCTTGTCCATACAGCACCCAATCGACACAGAACTTGACACCGCTCCGTACGACCCAGCCCAGGCTTCGGTAGTGGTGGTAGGCGGCATACGAGAGGAAGAAAGGCGAGTCGAGGCGGTTCAGACGGGGGTCCGATTCGGGTGCGAGGGCGAGAGATGGAGGGAGCGAAGGGCAGGATGTGAGGAGGAAGAGGCGGAGGGTGTCGAGGATAGTGAGACGCTTCGAGGCGGTTGGCGAGTGATCGGAGGGACCGGTCAAGGCGAGACAGCCGATTGCGAAGACAAGGAAGAAGGCCTCTTCGGGCTGGAGCTGCGAGTGCTCGGCACCGAGCTGCCACTCTTCAGGCGGCTCCTCCTTCTCGATGTCCTCGTCTGCGTCCTGGTCCTCCGCTTTTGCCTTGCCCTTGTCTGCCGCGGAAGGACCGGCCGCTGCCTCTTCCTGTTCCTCCGCAATCTTCTCCAGTCGGGAATCCAGCTCGTCCGTCTCGGTCGCGGGCAGAACTGAAGAGGATGTCGAGGGTGTGCCGGGGGCTGAACCGACGGACGAGGCTGCGGCGGAAGCGGCGAGGAAGCGTTCTTGATCCCGCTCGAGCTTCTTGGCCAGCTTCGTGCCCTTTCGTTCGATTCGCCGCAAGGCGGTGATCTCCTCGGACGTCAAACCTGCACGATTCAGCACCAAGATTAACGGAAGGAGCAGAGCGAGGGGAGAGAAACGAGGACGCACGCTTCTCGCGACCCTCGAGTTCTGCACGCCTGTTCTGTACTCGGCGCTTCCAGCTCGGCTCTGACCGACTCAAGAAGCCCTTGCCAAAAAACCCCTGCTTCCACAACCGCATCATGCTGGCCTCATCCTGGACCCAGACGGACTGGGTCAAGTCGTCCCAGACAGCCTCGATCTCGGGCGGCGCAAGGCCCGGCGCAAGTCGCAGAGCCGAGAGGAGCGACTGCAAATACGACTGCTTGGCCGGCGCGAGCGGGAGGAGCTGTGCGTACTGCTGGAGGAGCTGGGCTTTGGAGGTGCGCTTCGACGACGAGTTGAGGTTCTCGGGGCGGGTTGCGTTGATGCGCGGCGCCGTCTGCGGACTCTGTGGCTGTAGCTGTGCCATCCTCAGTCCAATGCAGCGGTCAAGCGGTGATGTCGCCTCGTCAACTTGTTCTCGTCGAGCTGAGCGAGGAGTTGTCCTGTGTCGACCCGCTCTCTCGCTTCTTTTGCTGGTCTGACTGGACTGTGCGCTCGCTAGGACTGCTCACAGCTGCTCAGCAAGATCTCACCGCAATCAGTGCGTCCTGTCGTCCTCTCGCTCGCGTTCACACCGCGTCTCCATCAACTCGGGCGACTGACCCTCGATTCCCGCCTCGCAGTGTCCGAACGACGACGAGCCGAGATCGCCGAGAAGCGCGCACGCCTCGCAGCGCTCAAGCAAGCCCGCGAGGAGCGCGAGGCTGCCTCGAGGGCCAGCGCATCCGCCTCTCTCGCCGCGTCAGGACTGCCCACACCCGTCGGAGGGCCTTCGAGGGCCGGCTCGGAGGCTGGGAGACAAGCTAGGGGCAGCTTGGGGGCGAGTACGAGCAGCAGGAACGACGAGATCGAGAACTTGCTTCGAGGAGTCGGTGTGGGGCGCGAGAGGGAGACGGTCGATGCAGGCTCGCCTGGCGCGGACAACCTGCGCACGAGTAGCGGATTGGGGAGAAGCGTTGGAGTGGGGTCGTCAACAGGCGCCAGCGCGGTGGGCGAGGACTTGACGAGCTCGAGGGCGAGTCCGCCGGTGGAAATGGCCGCTGGCGAGCCAGAGTGGAAAGCGCCGTCCAGCGAGGCGTGCGTGCACTTTCCGAGCTCTTTGGTGATGCAGGCTGACTTGCCCGTACCACAGCCCGAACGACGAAGCTCCTACCCTTCCGACGCTCACATCCTCGTCTATCGAAGTCTACACGCTCCCGCCTCGACCCAAAGTTGTCTACGACAAGTCTATTCAGACTTCTACCGACCTCTTCCCTTCAGCTTCCGTGCAGACCGCCGCTGCAGACTCCTCCATCTCGACTACGACAGGCGGCGCAGGTCGCGAGACGGCCGAAGAGCTTCGCGCCCGCATCATCGCCGAACTCGAAGCCGAGCGGAAACAGCTCGATGCCGAGATTGCGGAAGAGAAGCGGTTGGCGGAGGAGCAGCTCGAGGCGGAACGGGCGCGCGGCTTGTCGGGCGAGAAGCTGTCGAGCGTGTTTGCGAATCCGGCGTTCGTAGACTTCCTCGAGCAGTCGAGCAAGGTCGTCCAGCGCGCATTAAGCGACTCGTACGACTACCTGCGCGACTATACAATTACGACGGACGCATCGCGGGAAGAGGAAGAGGGGAAGAGGGCAAAGGTGCGGTTACTTGGGACTTGGCAGGACCAGCAGTGGGGCAAGGGGCGGAGCGTGACTGGTGTCGACTGGTCTCCCAAGGTGCGTCGGCGCATTTGCATGCAACATGAAGACCACTAAATTGACGGCTTGCTTTGCCAGTTCCCCGAACTCTTCGTCGCCTCTTACAACAAGAACCCGATGGCGGTCAACGAGCCCGACGGTATTGCCGCCGTTTGGAACCTGCACCTGCTCGAACGACCCGAATTTGTCTTCCATGCCCAAGTACGCCGACTTTCAATTCCCCAGCTCGCCTCCCGGAATGTTGAACTTACGCTGCTTCGCGCAGTCCGACATCCTCTCTATCGGCTTCTCGCCCTTCCACCCCAACCTCGTCGTCGGCGGAACCTACTCAGGCCAGATCCTCCTGTGGGACACCCGCTCGCGACACTCGAATCCGGTTCTCAAGACACCCCTCTCCGCCTCGGGCCACACCCACCCCGTCTACTCCCTCTCGCTCGTCGGCACGCAGAACGCTCACTCGCTCGTGTCGGCCTCGACCGACGGTGTTCTTTGCACCTGGACTCTCGACATGCTCGCTCGACCACAAGAGACGCTCGAGCTCGTCCATCCCGCGCACAACAAGACGGACGAAGTCTCTGTCACGGCTCTCGGCTTCCCACTTGGGGAGACGACGACGTTTTGGTGTGCGACGGAAGAAGGAAACGTCTACGCTGCGAATCGGTACGACCGCGCAGGCGCCAAGGCCGGACTCGTCCAGAGCGAGATCTACCGCGGTCATTCGGGACCCGTCACGGGCATCGACTTCCATCCTGTCGAGGGAAGCGTCGATTTGAGCGACTTGTTCCTTACGTGCGGGGTTGACTGGACTGTCAAGCTCTGGCGGGCGGGAGGCGCGCTTGGTGGGCCTCAAGCGGGCAAGACCGGCACGTCGAGCAGCAAGACGAGCTCGTCATCCGGCGGAGCGAACGCGATTGCGCCGCTGCTGTCGTTCGAGGAGGCGGACGACTACGTCTTCGACGTCAAATGGCATCCGCTGCACCCGGCTGTCTTCGGTACCGTCGACGGCGCAGGCAAGTTCGACTTGTTCAACCTCAACACCGACACCGAGGTGCGCACTCTTTCGCCCACTCCTCTACAAACCTCCGCTGAACCTTTCCTTCATTCGCAGGTGCCCATCATCTCCACCGCCGTGGGCGAATCCTCACCCGCTGCATCTCGACCACTTGGCGGATCCAGCGGCCGACGAGGGCTGAACAAGCTCGCGTGGGAGCGCAAGGAGGGTCGGAGGGCTGCGATCGGCTCGTCGGATGGGAAGGTGTATGTCTATGAGCTCAGCCAGGGTGCGTCCCGTTCATTCGCAGTTTGCTCTCGTTGTGTGCGCTGGCGGTGGGCGATAGAGAGCTGACGATTCTGCGAGAGGGTACGCAGACCTCGTCACGCCGCGCGAAGGCGAGTGGGACCAAATGCGCAAGACGTGCAACGCCGCGCTCGCCGCGCAGCAGCAACAACATGCGTGAGCGCCCTCCGCTGTCTCGCAGACACCATACCCGCTTCGTGTCGCCTTCGCATTCGCTCGATACCCCGTTGAAGTCCTCGCCGTCTCGCATACCCATTCCGCGCTGCAATCCGTCTATTCGTCCAGCCTCGATGGACTTGAGCAGGGAGAGCTAGTCGTAACGCGAGCGAAAGCGCAGATGTAGCGAGGCAAGGGGAGTAGCAAAGCAGGAGGCCCATCGCGCGCGACAGTGCAAGACGCGTGCTCCAACAGCGTCCTCGGAAGCTCCTTCATCTCGCTGCCCTCGATCCCCGCCCGCATGGGAACAACACAAGCTCAAACCCTGCGTTTCAATCGCCCTTCGAATCCGCACACCCAACCACAAGCCCATCCCAATCCGCACCTCCTCTTCGAACCACGCGAATCGCCTCCTGAAAACCCTCCACACGCAGATCCGTCCGTCCCGCCTCTCTCTCGAGGAAACAGCGCAGGAGGGAAGTCCAACAAAGAACTCCGTTGCCTTTTGCCGAGTTTACGAGTCGAAGGGAAAAGAGGTGTCGAGGCGGAACGCGGATGCGAGGTGGAGGATGGAGAGGGAAGCGGTGGTCGAGAAGGAGGATGGGAAAGGGAGGGAGGGGTCGAATGTGGGGGATTTCGAGGAGGCGGTTTACTCGGCCTTGGCCTTGCGAGTGGCGGTGGTGCCCTCGCGGAAGCTGCGTCCAGCACGATCGTCAGCTCGGGAGATGGTCAGGGGAAGGAGGGCGCAGACGGACCCGTTCTTGAAGCGGCGCGAGACACCCTTGAGGTAGCGCATGCGGCCGGTACCGGTGGTGTGCCGGCGCTTAGCCTTCTGGCCCCACTCGTCTGCGCACACGACAAACCCTCATCAGCGACCCTTCTCTCGTCCGACGCAAAGGCGGGACGTACACGACCTGAGCTTGGCCGCAGGGTAGCCGCACGAAGCGCACGACTTGTGCTGCTTGTGGAAGGAACGACGACCGCAACGCCTGCAGAGCGTGTGGCTCTTGGTGTGGCGGAGACCGAACGACGTGGTACCCTTCGTCTGTTGGGCGAAGCGAAATACGGAACGCGGTCAGCGGATGGATTGTCCTGGCACGTCGGATGGCAATATGCCCTCGCTCCCGCCTATGCCCAGCTCCTCCACTCCAGCCGCACCGTACGGCGACGCGAGCAGCATCAGGCGAGGCGGCGGGAGAGTGGAGTCGAGGTCGACAGGTTAAATCGAGGGGGTGTCGTGCGGGTGCTGGAGACGTCGCGCGGGTATCGCTCGGCCGTAGGAGGCGTCACAATGGTCGCAAGGAGTATATGAGGGTTCAGCGAAGCCGGCAGAGTGGGTGGATGGGTGGGTTGTCGTGGTCGTCGAGGAGGGGGGAGATGCTGCTCGTGTCGCCCCGTGTCCGCTCCAGTGCGCCCGTTTGCCCGCCTGATCCCGTTCTTTCAGCATTCCTGCATCATCTCAGCCTGTCCAGCCCCTCCCGCAAGCCCTGCGCTGTGCCGTGACCCGGTGCTCGCAACTTTGCCCCGTCCACCTCGCCCAGTGCTCGTTCTGGAGTGGTTGTTTCGGTGGATGGGGGGTAGTTGGCTGCTGCGAGTTGTGTGGCGCAGTCAGTGTGTGGGCTCACCATTGTTCTCGAGGTCTGCGGAGGTCGTCGTCGAGAGCAGAGCGAGGTCGAGCTCGAGTCGAGTTTGCACCGCGCGCCAGCCTCGCTCGCTCTCTCTCTCGTCGTCTCATCCCCCTCGGCCAAGGATCGCACCTGCTGCGTCGGTTGTGTAGGCCAAGCTAACAATGCAGATCTTTGTCAAGAGTGCGCGCAAACTCGCGTCCAGATCCGTCAACTACTCGTCGAGCTGACACCACCCCGCTCGTCCTCCCGCTCCCACCCTCGCAGCCCTCACGGGCAAGACCATCACCCTCGAGGTCGAGTCCTCGGACACCATCGACAATGTGAGTCACACGCGAACTGGGCGCGAGGCGTCGTCGGCGAGATGCGACGGCGGGTTCCTCGGGTCGACGGAGCAGGGACGGGCTGGGAGGGAACGGGGAGAGCTAACGACAGGCTTGTGCGCGCGTACAGGTCAAGGCCAAGATCCAGGACAAGGAGGGCATCCCCCCCGACCAGCAGCGCTTGATCTTCGCGGGCAAGCAGCTCGAGGACGGCCGCACTCTCTCGGACTACAACATCCAGAAGGAGTCGACCCTCCACCTCGTCCTCCGTCTTCGCGGTGGTATGGCCAAGAAGCGCAAGAAGAAGACGTACACCACCCCGAAGAAGATCAAGCACAAGAGGAAGCCCGTCAAGATGGCCGTCCTCAAGTACTACCGCGTCGACTCGGACGGCAAGATCAAGCGCCTCCGTCGCGAGTGCCCCTCGGACACCTGCGGCGCCGGCGTCTTCATGGCCGCCCACAAGGACAGGCAGTAGTGAGTTGACCCGAGTTCCCTCCCTCCCTCGCTCCTTCGTTGACCCTTTTCTCCCAGCTGCGGCCGCTGCGGCACCACTTACATGGTGGACGCCAACTAAGCATTCGGTGGCTCGATCGGGACGTTTGTAGGCCTTCAGGTCGTGCAAAGACGGTCAACCTCGTGCGATTCGCTCGTCCGACTGCGCCCTTTCTACCGCTCAGTCTGCGCACGCTGCTTCACAAGCTTCCTGGAGCTGGACAACAGGCAGAGCTGCACGAGAGACGCGGAGCTGGGATATCGAGTGTCGGGAGACGAAACACTCCGACCTTCATTCCGACCACCGCTATTCCTCTCCTCTCTCGCTCCAGACGTCTTCTTCGAGCTTGGCGATGTCGCTGCACTGCTGTTGCGTACGATTGCTGCCACTACGCCCCTTCGCCACCGCTCGCAGCGACACTCGCATCCACCTGGACCGCCTTCTCCTCCATCTGCTGTCCCTCGCGCGGCACTTGCTCGTGGAACCGCTGTGTCGGCACGACTGTGTGGTCACTATGTCTGCACAACACAGGCGGACTGCGAGCTGCAGATTGTGCGTTTCCCGGCCTCTCAAACTCCTTCGCCGTCAACGTCCATGGCCTGCACAGCGAGTTGCTTCAAGTTCGGGCGGTTCCTGCGCACAGCGACACCCTCCTTCTCACGCTCGCGCGCACAGACTACGACGAATTGT